TCCAGAGCTAGGCAAGCGCTCTTCCACTGAGCTACATCCCCACCCCACTGCAATCTTTCTAAAGCAGAAATCTGACTCTGTCATTGTTTAAAGACCTTCCCTACCCCTCACCCCACTCCCCTGCTCTGTCTCCCTGTCACACTGACCTATCTTCTTCAGTCTTGAGCTACATGGGTTGAACCACCCACACATGGTCAGCTTCCTCCTTCCCCTTAGCTTCATATGCCCTGTTGCGTTTTGGAGAATAATAGCACCATTTTTTTCTACCCCTAATTTCTTCCCTATTATCATTTCCTGCTATCAGATATTCCTACAACATGAAAGGCTCTTATTTTCCTGGTTGACGTAAACATTTTTATTTATTTATTTATTTTTGTGGTGCTGGGAATCCAAGCCATGGCCTCACACATTCTAAGCAAGAGGTTTACCACTGAGCACCACAGCCACCCTTCCCCCCCCCACACACCCGGTCTCTCTTGGTTGATTTTTGAGGTTCTGTGGTTTCTATTCTTGTCTAATTCATGGACACTTACATGTTCCTTTTCTGCAGTCCCCTGAGTCTGGTTTGCCATACTCTACCAAGTGGTTAATGGCTTCTGGTTTGCTTCTAATTAACTGCTTGGATCACAGCCTTCAGGTATTAATTTAGTACTTGATTGCCTGATGTTCTAACCACAAGCTGGCCGTACCATCCAGCTTCCACTGTGGGAAATGCTGCCCCAGCCTCTTTCTGGACTGCTGGATCGCTCACTGTTAAGGATGTTACAGTGAAGAGGAAGTGTCGAGGGCACTGTGAAGTGTCAGTGATGTTCCACAGGTGTGTGACTGCAGCTTGCACGGTGGCACTCAGCTGAGCACTCGGCTGCTCAGGAACCTGCAATTTCCAACTGCCTCGTGTACTGACTTCAAACTCCTCAAGTTCACTCATAAAAATCCCCAGTTCCACCTGCCCAAATCCTTTTCTTAGCACGTATCAACAGGGATCCTCCACTCCGGGTAGGCTGGACACCTTGTACCACCTTATCTATAAACTCAATCAACAAATCCACAGTTGTTTGCTATTTTCTAGCAGTGTGACTTTAGCTGGCATATTTTAATTTTCTGTGAGTCAGTTCTTTTAATCTAAAGTGGGGATAACAGTAGTATCTAACTTGTAGGGCTGCTGTAAGGATCCAAATTAATGTGTATAAAGTACCTTAAAACAGTGTTTGGCACACCGTATGAATATTACCAGAAGACTAGATTCATGGAGGATACAGAGATAAATTAGATGCAAATTATTTCCTTTAAAGAACTTCCAGACTTGCAAAGTGATGAATTATGCATCCATATGCAGCACACAATGACAGGCAGATGAAGGACCTGCTGCCCTCACCCCCATTCTTCTGTCCTGCTCTCTGCCTCCTTACCAGCTCTTTCCCAAGATAGGAAAAACTGTGATCTGAACTCAGTGACCAGAGACTCACTGATGGGGCCATATTTTATAAGTGATCAGCTCACTGTGCCTTAAAGATGAGCTATCATAAATGCTCTTTCTGGGTAAGTATGGCCCCAAGGGCAAGCCAGTCACCATCATCATGTAGCTCAGGACCCTCTTAGCAACAGGGAGAAAGAAAGAGGAAGCTTCACTCGGGACCTAACTCTAAGCCAACATGTGTTTGTGTTTCCCAGAGAACAATGAAAATAGGGCATTTGCCCACAATCAAATGGTAATCTGAGCCAGGCACTGGTGGCTCACGCCTTTAATCCTAGCTACTTGGGAGGCTGAGACTGGGAGGATTGTAGTTCAAAGCCAGCCTGGGAAAATGGTTCATGAGACCCCCATCTCCAAAATTACCAGAGCAAAATGGACTGGAGGTGTGGCTCAAGCGATAAGAGTGCCTGCTTTCCAAGTGTGAAGCCCTGAGTTCAAATCCCAGTCCCACCAAAATAAATAGAATGATAATCTGAGAACCTCAGGGGAAAGAGATATGAGTAATATTCATGTGCCAAGACCCCTAGCCAAACCCTTGACTACAGAGAGCAAGGAGGTGTGTGCTGTGGGGGAATGTCCTTTGTCTCGAGAGATCCAGGATGGGAGGAGGAAGAAATCAAAGAAGGCTCCCTTAAAGAGGTAGTAGTCAAGCTGGGACTATACGAATGAGTAGTATAGACTTAGACTGTGTACTCCAAGAATCCTGAAAACTGGCCAAGTGTAACCAGTACATAATTTAAAGTTAAAAAATGAACACATGTGGAGGTGATCAAAGATACCAAATCAAATAGCACACAGCCTCTGGATTTGGGAGTCTTAGCCAATCCAGACTCTCGAGGAACAGCTACATGTCAGTGGGCTCCCCAACAGCTGCACTGAAAACCCTAGCCCCACCCCTATTACTCTAATCTTCTTTTTTCTGACTTCATACTACCAGGCCAGCTTTTCATGAAAAACTGTTTCTTGGCTACTTGGGACCTACAATGAGGAAGAAAGCAGCCAATCACTAGAAAAGGAAATGCCCAACTTTGCTGACAGAATTGTTTAAAGGCAAAATTTCCACCTTTCCCCGGCTACTTCCTCCAACATCAATTACCTGTGTCCGTCCTCCTCCACTGAATCCGTCCTAGGAAGACCACATTGCCTCTCATCTCCCAGTCCATTCATTACTTGGAGTCCTCCTGCTGTTGGGTCTCACTGTGGTATGGGACACTACTCCTGACACCCTCTCTTCCTCTGCCTTCTGGGACACCTCTCTCTCCAGGTTCTGCCTCTTTCTCTCTGGCAGGCCCTTTGCATCCCCTTTTAAGGAAGTGTTACTGATGACTGCTAAGGGTCTTGGAAAAGTATTAGGCTCTTTGGGCATACACTAGATGGTAGTAGGATCTGAAGGAAGTGGCACTGTCAGAGGCAAGGGCAGGAGAAGAACAGGAAGTGAAACCTTGGGTCGGGGAAGGGGAGGGCTGAGAGATGGTGGGGAAAGGAAGTTGGCCAAAGAGAAACTCCAGCTAAGGGAGCAGGCTGTATCAATCGAGCACAGGTGTGCAGTGCCAACAGGGTTACAGGTACACTCTAGAAAGGTTAAGCTGTTTGTACGTGCAGGATGGGGAGAAGGGAAAACAGACAAACCAAACCAGGGGTTTGTACCCCACTGCATTGCCTGATACTTTAATGCCCTCCCTCTTCAATCTCATCAAAGTCTTCATACTGCCCAGCTTGACTCTAGAAAGCTGATCTTGGAGGCTACTGCCCACCCAATGTCCAAGTTCATAAAGCTGTCTGGACTATATAATTGGCTGTTTATTCTCTCTGTATGTACAGACTGACATACAGAATCTGGCCTTGTTCTTCATTTGTTAGGCACTTGAGTCTGAACAGAAGCTGTCACATGCCAACGTAAGTCATCTGGCAGCAGTAGGCTGGCTGTGTGCAGAGTAAATATGCATTAGATGCTTTCAAAACAGATGGGTTTTGGAATATTTCTTCTTTTCCAGAGTGGCTGAGTCTGCTTCTGCTTGTTGTCCTCCAACCCCCCCAACAATTTACTCCTCTTTTTCGGCTGCAGAGCTGTAGAAGACTAAATTTCCTAGCCTCCCTTGCAGCTAGGTCATGTGACCATGCTTTTGCCAAAGGATATGAACAGCAGTGATTTGTGCAATCAGCCTAAAAAGTAATTATTTTACCCTGAACTCTTTTCCCTTCCCTCAGTCTTAAACAAGGACAGGCAAACCACCTCCTATCTTCTACCAAAGCCTTATGGAATGGTAGAACACTATATGTTGGGGGGCCCTGTTTCAGTGGTTAAACCTCTACCTAACAAACACATTCACTCTACCTTCCTTACCATAATAATTCCAATTTTGGAACCGGGTCTATCATGTCTCAGTTAAGACTACCCTTTCCTGCTTCCTTTACACCTACATGCAACCACAGGACTAAGTGAACAGAATTGTCAGATGGAACTTCTAATAGCATAATCTCTCTATAAAGTAGTCAGTGATCATCATTTTTCAACTTCCTCTTTCCCACTGCGTGGAATGTGAATGTAATGGCTGGAGTTCAAGTGGTTATTTGGTACCATGAAGTTACCAGCTAAGAATTATGAAGGAGCAGAAGCCAGGACTCAGGGTCCCTGAAGACAAGGGAGCACCCATGCCAGTTCTGGATTTCTTTCCATGAGAGAGAAAATTCTATGTTATCGAAGGTATTAACATTCGTATGTTATCTATGGCTAAACCTGATCCTAACGGATACACCATGAGCAGATATCCACATCTCAAACCCCAGCTTGATTTCTGGCTCTCTATCCCGCTACTAGCGACAGATAAGTAGAGCTATCGATCTATCTTCCCCAAGTCGCAGAAGTAAGAGACCAGTTTCCATCCTTCAGAACAGAATTAGTTTGCTTTTTGTGCTTGTGGAAGCAGCTCTGCAGGGAGGCTGGTGGCTGACAAGTCCCAATCTCTGGACCCAGATGGTCCCAACAATGATGGCTCACACTAGGGGGGCCACAAAGCCTGGTGTCAGGAGAAGTGGGTTGGAAGTGGGGAGGGAGACTGACCTAGCTCTGATACCAGGGCGGTGAGCATCAACAGAGCGTTTAAGAAGATGGAGTGCCAGTCATTGCAAATTAGGTCACTACAGACAGGGAGGAACAAGGCAACGTCGCTCTTCTAACCTGAGATTTCTCTTCCCATCAGCTGCCCTGGTCTCACGCCTTCCAGACTGGTGGTAGCCTTCTCCCTGGCATGGAGGGCTGAGGCCAGACGCTGAGAACTGAGGTGGGGGCTAGGCTCAGCAGTCCCTGTCCCACAGCCTCGCGGGACTTGGGTGACACCTGCCTCTCCCGGCTCAGTCTCCCCACTTGTAAAGCGGGAGGAGCAGGGCACTCCCCAGCCTGGCTTCGGCTGTGAGCAGCTGCCTCCCTGGCATCCTTACCAACGCTGACCCCGTTCCTGAGTCCTTCGGCCCGAGCCCCCAAGCTTGGGTCCCCTCCTCGCATCCCCGCACCCTCCTGCAGCCTCACCCTCCTCGGACAGGTAGCGCAGATCGTAGAACTCCCCCGCGAAGGTGCCATAGGAGGAGTCGTGGCGCGGCACCGCTTCGTCGGCTCCCGCGTCACCCCGCGCGCGGCCTCGGGGTCCCCGGCCCCCTGGGCCCGCGCCGTCGTCCGCGGGGCTGGCGGCGCAGGTGGCGGGCCCGGTCAGCAGCAGCAGCAAGAGCAGCGGCGCCCAAGCGTCCGGGCACCACCGCCCCGGCGGCCGAGCCATCGCTGCGCAGCGATCGCGCAGCCAGGCCGCTGGGGCCGCAGCTGGGGCGCCGCGGGCGCGGGCCGGGACCGAGCCGCCACCAAGCACGCGCCCCGCGCAGCCGCGCAGCGCCCGCACCGCGCGCGCCGCCCCCGCGCCTCGCTCTGCGCATCCTCGCGCCAGCCCCGCAGCCTCCCTAGTCCTCCCGCCTGACGCTCCCTCCCAGCAGCGTCGCTCCTTGTCTCCTTCTTCCCATTCCCCGCCATCTCCGCTACCTCCCTCCTAGTCCTTGTCCAGTGGCCTGCCGGGCAGATTTGGCCCTTCCAGGCCATTGTTACTCAGAGGGTGGTCCGCGGACCGGCGGCACCATGGACCTTGTTAGTATGACCCATTTCAGGCCCCACTCCTGACTCAGGAGGCAAGATTGCATGTTTTTAAACCCAAATCCCCAGAAGCCTAAATGTACGATCCAATTTCAGAAGCGCTCCTCCAGAGGATTTACCTTGAACACGCCTTGCCAGAATGGCTCTCTCCCCCCATCTTCTTCCTGGAATTTTTGGTTTATAAAAAGCATCTACTGGACGCATTCCCCGCCGCCCCAGGAGCATCACAGAATGAAACTGAAATCACAAGATCCCACTATATATAGATGGGTACCCTGAAGTGGAAACCAGAGCTCAGTTCTTGGGAGTGTGTCATCAGCAAGGGCTGCTGGTGTCCAAGCGTGACCTGCACGCTTCAGACTAGGCAACTGATTTACTCTGTGTCCCCGGCAACCAGCAAGAACAGGACTTGACCCGTCAGTATCATGTCTGATGACCACACAGAATTCACTTTCTCAAATCCATTCCTGCCACTTACAGTGCACCTTCTACTATTCACTCAGCCATCCATTTACTCACCAGGCACTTAGGATACTACAGCTCCCAAGGTTCTCTCCTGGTGAGGGTTGTTGGAATGATAGGGTTAAACAGTTAAGCTGTTCTGTTAGAGACACGGACACAATTCCTTTCATGCTGGTATTGTAGAACCAGCATTTTAACTTGATTTTCCTCTTTCTTTTTCTTTCTTTTTTATTGCATAAACTACAAAAATCATTATGAAGGCAGAAAAGTGGAGCAATCCCAAATGCAAGCCTAGAAGTCAGACTGCAAAGGGTGGCAATCAGTAATCACCATAATCAATAATCTCCATGATGAAATGAAGATAAAGTAAAACAGGAGAAAGTTCAATAGGTTCAATAGCATGAATAAATATGCATAGGGTTAGGAAACATTAATATTCAAAAGGAAACTGGTGACCTCAACCTTTTATGGCCCAGACACCTGGGAGACAAGGAGACTGCTGTCGAGAAAGGGAGATTCACTGGGAAATCCAAAGGCCAAGTGTTTGCTATTGGGCCTCAGCTGACCACAGGTTGTCCATCTGGAGCTTAAATGTGTTAATCCTGACAGCTGAGTCAAGGTGCAATTCATGAAAATCTTGACCTTTACTCCAACATTATCAGTTGTTGTAACAAATAAATCAGATTTATGTTTGGAAAAGGTAAGATGAGCTACAATCACTTAAAAAATCAAAGCAATAAGGTTCCTTCTCTAAAAGCATAAATACAATTCTAATAAACTGACAATTGTGAATACAATTCTAGAATATAAAAAAGCCAATCCAATAAATTGAAAATCTGTTAAAGTTAAACCTTCAGAAAATAAAATAAAAAACAACTCAGTTCTTTTTTTTTTCTTTCTTTCTTGTCCTCCTCTGCTTCCTCCTTTCTTCTTCCTCTTCTTCTTCTTCCTCTTGGTAGTACTGGAGTTTGAACTCAAGCTTGCTAGGAAAGCCTTCTACCATTTAAGCCACTCCACTGGCCTTCCAATCCCTTCTTCGAAATTGAAAGTCCTTCCTTTTCCCATTCACGAGGGCAGGCATGGTCACTTTAAAGTGGACCAGGCTCCTGATTTCATTGCTATTCTCTGGTTTGGAAATCTAAGCCATTACCAATTTCTTTTTAATTCCTTTCATTTCAATTATCACAATTAACAATGGCACCCAAATAGGAAGGTAAATGAAAACCAGGTCATTCTTCCAGGTAAAATGGTCTGATAAAAGCACACAGGATTTCTAATTTGGGGGGGAGGGGTAAATGTTGGGGAGAGTTTGCAACCACAGCTCAATATAAGGTTTACAAGATCTGTGGATTTTAATTATCAACTCATGTTCAAGAACCTAAAGTCCATGGACTCAAAAGGAGGCCACAGATGAGCTCAGGGATGGTGTGAGGCCCATCTGAAAGTGCTGGAATAATTCAATGCATGGATTTTTTTTTCTTTTTTTTTTTTTTTTTGGTGGTATTGGGGATTGAACTCAAGGCCTCAGGCTTGCTAGGCAGGCCTTTTTACCCCTTGAGCCACTCCACCAGCCCTTTTTGGTGTTGGGTGTTTTTAGATAGGGTCTCATGAACTATTTGCCTGGTCTGGCTTTGAACTGCAATCCTGATCTCTGCCTCCTGAGTAGCTAGGATTACAAGCATAAGCCACTGTCACCCAGCTGTAATGTATAGATTTTTCTGGGGAGAAGACTCATAGCTTTCATAGGTCACTCAAAGTCTCCATGCCTCTCAGGTCTGAGGACCAATTTACATCTCCAGTTCCCTACAGATGGCTCCTACCATCTCTTAAGATTCACACTGATCCAGTTAAATTGCCTTCTGGATTTTTCTTATTCTTTCTGCATTCCTACAAGATTTAAGCAGGGAAGGCCCTCAGCAGGGCTGGGAGTATAACTCAGTGACAGAGCTTGTCCAGTTAGAGTTTAAACATGGTAATACTGACAGCTGAATTAAGATGTAATTCAAGAGCTGAATTAAGGTGTAATTCAAGAAAACCCAGCATGCAGAAGGCCATGGATTTGATCCTCAGCATTAAAAAAAAGAATCTTTTTAAAAACTCTCAACACACATTCCTTTTTAGTTAGAGATCCACACTCCCCACCAATGTGAATCCACTGGATGGCAAAGAATTATTGTGGTTTTAACTGAATGTTCTGAATCCATTGGTTGAATAAGAACTTAGAGGTGAACCGCTTTCATTTCATTATCATTTTTCAAAGAAAGAAAGCACTGTTATTTTCTCCTCTCATCAAAATCATTTCTCTAGTTTTTTTCTGTTATAAAACAACTTCCCCAAATCAGTGCTGCATCTCAGTGTCTGACCAGTAACAGATGTGCCCTGCCTCCGACTGCCTGGTATATGTAATTTTTCCACTTTGAATTTCATAAGAAATAAAAGCTGTGATCTTGGAAGTTCCTCAGAAAATTAAACATAGAGTTGCCATATGATCCGTCAATTCCAAGACTGCTAAAAACATATGTTCACACAAAAACTTGTACACAAATGTTCATAACGGTATTATTCATTATTAGCCAAAAAGTAGGAGTAACCCAACTATCTATTAATTGATGAGTGGGTAAACCAAGTATGGTATATCCATACAATGCTGTATTATTCAGTCATAAAAAAGGAATGAATTTCTCACACATGCTACAAAGTGGATGAACCGCGAAAACAATATGGTAAGTGAAAGAAATTGATCACAAAAGACCACATGATAAATGAAATTCCCAAATAAGCAAATCCATAGGAAGAAATCCACAACAGAAAGTAGATTACAGGTTGCCAGGGATGGAGGGTGGTAATGTTTGCAGAGAATTAGGAAAACACACACACACAAAAACCACTGAATCATACACGTTAAAATGGTTAAAATGGTGACTTTTATTTGAATATTTTCAAAAGCTGTTGATCTTTGAGGTGGTGAAGGAAAATAACAATGACATCAGAATATTCCTGTGCTATAGCAAATTCTGGCTGCATCCTGGTGATCTTCTGAATGTCTAAAGACTTCGTTTTCAAACTCTTCAACCCTAAAGATCTTCTATGAAGTCCACAATGCACAAACTGTGAGGATATTCAGACCTTTACTGTAAAACCCACCACACCCAACAGGAGTCTGTAGCCACAGTTTGGAGCCTCACTCTGGAATGATTATGTCAGCAAACTGATAATTTCGCCCCCCTAAACCTAAGGTGTGTGTGTGTGACCGGATGGTGCTGTTGTTTTGGTGAAGCAATTGTACAATTTGTCACTATGAATCCACCCAGTACAATGTCAGGTCACAATGCCAAGCACCCATTACACATACAATTAGGCAAATAACCAGGACCACAGCTGCAATGATGGAGTCCTCTGGAATTTACTGGTTAGAGGTGAGCTGCCAAGGATACTGGGTTTTCATATACAGTAACAACTAACTTATTTGTGCTCAGACTTCCAGTGACATCAAATTTCTGAAACACCTGGGAACACAGGGGGATGTGGGGACAAAGCAGGAGACTCAGACTCCTGTAACAGCAGCCAAGACATCCATGCATCCCTCCTCAGAAGCAAAGCGAACCTGATGTATATGAAATACTTGTTTCCTGGCTTCCCTGGGAAACCTCCAGCGGTGTCCTGGAAGTTTCCATCAGAGGGCAGGAGATAGGGAATAGAGGCCTCAGAAAGCAGTACAGAAGAGGCAGAGGTTGCTAGATTGGCAAGAGGTGACAACTCCATGTTCTACAGGAACACATTTTGTGTCAGGTACACGAGATAAATAACAGCTAAAGCTGGGGGTAGGTCGTGGGGGTAAAAAGCCCCTCCAACTACAAGTACCCCAGATAGCTCTACTGATAGAGCAGGCAGCAGTAAAAAGCCACCAATGAGAAGAGCGTCACAGCCTACAAAAGGCCAAGCTAAGCCCTACACATTTTGATAGCTCTTGGTGACATCACTGCACCATACCAAGGTAAATACAGGGCTGATGTTTATAATGATGACAATGGTTCATCAAGAAAAGGTTGAATACTCTCCAGTATACTCTGTTTTCTAAGGCAGGGAAGTATGTAATACATCATAGAAAGATTTCCCTCAAAAAATATTAAAATTTTAAAGTCAGCACTTAAAGGGTTACTCCTTGGTTATCTGAATATTTGTTTATGTACCTCATTGACAATAATGCTAACAAATGAGGCATTGCTTTTTTATAGTCATTAGTATCAAATTATTGGCACCATTCAGTTGTCAGGATAGGGACAGGAGAGCAAACTATACAATACAACAGAAAAATGCAGTTCTGATACAAATGTTTGAGATCAATTCTACTTAACAAGCGGTCGTCAGAAATGAATGGACAGCTTACATATAGGGAAATACAGCTAGTAAAATCATCACACGGAAAAGTGCTCAGCCTTGCTAGCAATTAATGAAATAAAAAAACTTTTCAAGAACAACTATACACATCTATTAAACTAGCAAAAATAAATTAAAATGGCAAAACCCAACACTGGCAGAGCTACTGGCAAACAGAAATGCTTATACATTGCTGGTGGCATCATAAATTTTAAACGGGTTCAAGCATTCAGAGGGGGTAGGGAGTGAAACTAGATGACCTTTGAGGTCCTTCCAATCCAGAGATTGGATCTTTCTAGAAAGCAATCTGGCAATATAAAACAAGAGCTATAAAATACCTCATGCTCTTTGACCTTGTATCCCTCTTTGGAGATATTCCTAAGGGAATAATCCAAAGGAAGGAGCATATTTTTTTTTTTACAAAGACATTCATAGCAGCACTATTTATAAGAGTGAAAAATTGGATGTAACTCAAATATCTAATAATGGGGAGAAGTGAGGTTAGCTGTGTTACATGGATTTAAAGACATTGAAATTGGTGAGCATAGGACCTGGCTGATATGGAGAAAAGTGTTCACCAGAGGGGAAATACAACAAAAGAATGTCTATGCTAATCATAGCTATGTAAAAACATGTGCATATTCATTGAGAAAGCTAGGGAAATAATTTAGAGGGTAATTTGTGGTTTGGGGGTTCCTTTATTCCTGCAAAGGTTGTTCAAGTGCATAATAAAAATTTAAAAACACATTTCTTGAAACTATACAAAAAGGGAGCAAAGTTTCTTCTGGTCAAGTTTCTACCAACGGTATATGAATTGATTAACTTTAGAAATAATTTTCCTTTTTGGAAAACTCAAATGAATTTCCTTGATATCAAATTATTTTAACATTGAAAGGATTTTTTAGGTAATTTAAGTTAGAATTTCCTACTTGGGGGTCCAATGATAAATTCTATTTATCCTAGATAAACTCATATTCAAGTCCACACATTAAATTATATTTCAGATTAAGCTGAAGTACTTTTAGTGGTAGTGACATGTAACTTTCTTTTTTTTAGTTCATCTACTCAAGTCTGAATAAAAATAAAGGACTTTATAAGATCTGTGTATTTATCAGTGTAAATGAAAAACCAGCAGTAAAGAATTATTCTCTCATTAAAAATGACTCTTTTAACAAACAGTCGATGCTTGGTGCAAGTTTCTATCATACAAAATCACATGGTTGAGACTGTTAGCAGAGGGTTGACCCCGTGGTACTTAACAGATACACACAGGAACCTCTCAATTTGGAATCCCTGTTTTCCCCTCTTTCTGCTTCTAGACTTACCAAATCCTGTCTCCACTACACTGAGCAGGAAAAAACCTCTCATGCTCAGGAGACATAAAATAACTTTTCCAATAAAAGTCAAGCCCGAAGCTGGCTTCCACTGACCATGGAGACCTGGGCGAACAGAGTCACAACATTTGTGTGTTGTGCTGGAGTGAGCACACAGAGCCCGAGGAAAGGAAACGGACAGAAGGCACCATGCCATCCTCCGGCCAACAAAGGGGAATTTCACAGTTCAGTCATCAGCAGTCTTTTCATCATCTTCTCTCTTTCCAGTTCCTGCCGGAGTGTCTCTGCACTAAAAAAGAACAAGTGACAAAATAGTAAGACAAACCCTCAAAAATCACAGGCACTGACAGAGCTTAAATGTCACCTCTCAGATTTGTTCTTCTTGACTTTCCTGTCCTACTCCTTTTTAGGATGCCATAGACATTGAAGTGTTTACAGTGACCTGGAATTGTATGACTACTTAAGGGTTTCCCCATTAGTCTGAGGCTTCCTCAGGGGACTAATTTTATGTCATTCATCTTTAAAGTCTCAGACCCTAGCATAGGATCTGATACACAGCAGCCACTCAGCAAAAGTCTCTTGAATGAATGAAGTGTTTAGGGTTATATTTCTTTAAATCATGCTTTAAATTCATTCCATATACATTTTTTCTCAGACTTTAATTTGATTAATGTGTGAGGTTATATCTTAATATGTGATATGTTTAATGAATAAAATGTAATAAAGTCGAATTAGGGGTGTAGTGCAGTGGTAAAGCACTTGACTAGCATCTGAGAGGTGTGCTTTAATCCCTAGCAAAAGGAGGAAAGGAAGGAAGGAAGGAGAGAGGAAGAGAAGGAAGGAAGGAAGGAGGGAAGGAGGGAAGGAGACAAGGAAGGAAAGAAGGAGGGAAGGAGGGAAGGAGGAAAGGAAGGAAGGAAGGGAAGGAAGGAAGGAGGAAAGGAAGGAAGGAAGGAAGGAAAGGAAGGAAGGAAGGAGAAAGGGAGAAGGAGGGAGGGAAGGAAGGAAGGGGGAAGGAAGGAAGGAAGGAGGGAAGGAGGAAGGAAGGAAGGAGGGAATGAGGAAGAAAGGGGGAAGGAGGAAAGGAAGGAAGGAAGGAAGGGGGAAGGAAGGAAGGAGGGAAGGAGGAAAGGAAGGAAGGAAAGGAAGGAAGGAAGGAGAAAGGGAGAAGGAAGGAAGGAAGGGGGAAGGAAGGAAGGAGGGAAGGAGGAAAGGAAGGAAGGAAGGAAAGGAAGGAAGGAAGGAGAAAGGGAGAAGGAAGGAGGGAAGGAAGGGGGAAGGAAGGAAGGAAGGAGGGAAGGAGGAAGAAAGGGGGAAGGAGGAAAGGAAGGGAGGAAGGAAAGGGGAAGGAAGGAAAGGAAGGAAGGAAGGAGAAAGGGAGAAGGAAGGAGGGAAGGAAGGAAGGGGGAAGGAAGGAAGGAAGGAGGGAAGGAGGAAGGAAGGAGGGAACGAGGAAGAAAGGGGGAAGGAGGAAAGGAAGGAAGGAAGGAAGGGGGAAGGAAGGAGGGAAGGAGGAAAGGAAGGAAGGAAGGAGAAAGGGAGAAGGAAGGAGGGAAGGAAGGAAGGAGGAAGGAAGGAAGGAAGAAGGGAAGGAGGAAGAAAGGGGGAAGGAGGAAAGGAAGGAAGGAAGGAAGGGGGAAGGAAGGAAAGGAAGGAAGGAAGGAGAAAGGGAGAAGGAAGGAGGGAAGGAAGGAAGGGGGAAGGAAGGAAGGAAGGAGGGAACGAGGAAGAAAGGGGGAAGGAGGAAAGGAAGGAAGGAAGGAAGGGGGAAGGAAGGAAGGAGGGAAGGAGGAAAGGAAGGAAGGAAGGAGGAAGGGAGAAGGAAGGAGGGAAGGAAGGGGGAAGGAAGGAAGGAAGAAGGGAAGGAGGAAGAAAGGGGGAAGGAGGAAAGGAAGGAAGGAAGGAAGGGGGAAGGAAGGAAGGAAGGAAGGAAGGGGGAAGGAAGGAGGGAAGGAGGGAGAGAGGGAAGGAGGGAAGGAAGGAAGGAAGGAAAGGAAGGAAGGAAGGAAGGAAGGAAGGAAGGAATTGAACCCAGGACCTTGTGTTCTTAGGCAAGCTTTATGCCACAGAGTTGCATCCTAGTCCTAAAATGTATATTTGTATATTTTTATTCATCTGCCTCATCAATGAGGTAATTCTCATATTCTCTTTCTCTCTCTCCTCTCTCTAGCTCTCCACTGAGACAGGGCCTCACTATGTTGCCCAGGGTGGTCTCTACTGTGTGGGCTCAAGCACTCCTCCCACCTCAGACTCGCAAATACCTTGGACTACAGGCATATGCCAGTGCACAGTGTACAAGATGTGGATTTTTAGGGGCACAAACTAAATTTAATAATCTCATTTAGAATAGCGATCAGTTTCTACTGTGCCAACAAGACCCTACACACTCTGGCCCCAACCTGCAACATTCGAGTTCTCCTATGCTGTCATTTACTCTGCTCTGGCTGTTATGGAGAAAAGTCCTGAATAGCCCCTCTTGCTTTACTTGCTCTTAGGTAACTTAAGAATCACTAGCTTTGGAGGTTGCACAGCTAGGCAATACTTTTTGAGTCTTTCACTAGCTTTGCGGTGGGCAATTCCTCTGCCATGTGAGTTTCAATGATAGTGGTTGCCTAGGTTACTTTGCAGGGAACTTGAAGCCTACTTTTGCTGAGAACACTGACTCTTCACTTGGGCCTGCAGATGTCTGTTGGGTGACTGGAATGAGATGAAAAGGTGTGGTGGCATCACTATCTTCACACTTTGTCTGTCTCCTTTGCTGCCCTAAACTTTGGATCACAAAGTAGATAACTGTGAATGTTGATATGTTGATTATTTGAAGAATGTCTTGCCCAGAACTGTAATACAGGATTAGCCTGATCTAGACTTGTCTAGTCTCTGTCTCCCCTTCAAGACTAAGACTGGAAATAAGCCCCAAGACTGGAAATATGACATCATAAAAGGGTGAAAAAAGGTGGCACCAGAGTTCCTGGAAGATCTCTATTCCAGAAAAGACTCAAACATTCCTCTATTCTTCCCCTTTATTGGACTAACTCTCACTCATTATTCCCATCCTATGTCTGTAATTCCTCAACGTTGTGGAGTTGAGAAGCTGATTTGTAAGAAAAGCCCCCATTTTTCCATTCTTTGGCTACCGAATGAAGCTCTTTCTTCTGTCACTCTGTCCCTTGATTCACTGACTTCATTGAGCAACTGCCGAATTGGACCTATCTCAATTACCTGACCACATTGGACACTTAATCTTCCTTAATCATGGCAAGCCTGCTTCACCTCAAGAGTCTTAGCACTGGCTGCACCCTCTGCGGAGTTATTCTTTTCCAGCTATCTGCAGCCTGCTCCCTCACCACCTTCAGGTCTTTGCTTACGTGCCATCTCCATGAGGCTATCCCAGACTGTCCTATTGTCTTTTGTGGTCTTATTTTCTTCCTTAGCACTTGTCACTACCATGAACACGCACATACATACACACATTTATTTGTTTGCCTCCCTTACCCCCATGCATTAAAGTGTAAATTAGTAAACTCCAAATGGACAGGACTTTATCTGTTTTGTTCAGTGTTTATCCCTAGCATCTAGAATACAGCCCACCTCCGGTAGACATTTCATTAAATACTTACAGGATAAACAGATGCTACAATACAGTGAACCTAGAGTCTGTGTCTGGTTCCCTGACACCAGGGTTACCTGCTATTGCCTGCTGATTTGACCCACCTGGCTGCCAGAGAAACAGGCTTCCGGGTGGTGTAGATGGTCTGTACTGTGGAGACGGTCTCTGTCAAAGGCCGCAGGGCTGCTGCTGGAATCAGCGGGGAAGACTGGCCAGGACAGCACTGTAATTTACTGTCTCTAAAGTCTGCCTACAGAAGAAAAAGAAAAGAGATCAATCTCAACTTGGGTTCCATTTTTATACTGTCAGCTGCACTCTAAGCCTTACTGTACAGATCCTGTTATTTTTTAATAACAGCTAAAAATCAATTGTCATTTTAAGTGATTTTACTCTGTGCCAGACACTGTGCTAAGCACTGTACATACATTACCTCTTGACAACCTTTTAAAGTAGAGATCATGTTTCATTACATCTTAGACACCACTAAGATGCATCATTTTTGCATGTGCCACAGAGAAAGAAAAATACAGTATTCCAGCTTTGTCATGTTGTGTATTATAGAAGACATTATGATTTCAGAGACATTAAAAGATGACAAAAATGTACATCTTAGAACTGACTTTATGGAAAAGGGAAAGTGGGACCCAGAGAGGCTAAGTCTTCCACTCAAGGTCACACAGTAAGTGTTAACAACAGCATTCAGAACGGGGTTTAAGGACTCCATAATTGGTGTTTTTCACCAATATAGTGCCCCATTTAGAGGAGCAAAATGTGGTCCCCAGACTAGCAGCATTAGCCTTATTTTGAAACTTGGTAAAAAAGCAAATGCTCAAGCCCCACTCAAGACCTTGGGACCAGAAAGTCTGGGGATCAAGTCTAACAACTGGTGTTTTAATAAGACCTCCAGATGGTTCGGGTGCGTGGCAGAGTCACAGGACTACTAATCTCAAGCACCCTGACTAGTCTGAAGAGGAGAATTTCTTGTTGCCATCTTCATTGCAAAGAAAAATATGCTATTACTTTTACATAAAAAGCTTAGAGGATGGAAACTGGGTGTGGTGGCTCACATTTGTAATCCCAGCACTGGGGAGGCTGAGGCAGGAAGAGCACAAGTTCAAGGCCAGACTGGGCTACATAGTAAGATCCTGTCTCAAACAACTAAAAAAAAAAATAATGAATGAAAGAAAGAAAAAAATCTTAGAAGATAAAAGTGGGTAAGTGAAGAAATTCCACATTCTTCACTGGCATTATTAATATATTTCCCCATAGAATTTTTAAATGCCTACAATTTTGTTTGTTTTAGATCCTTTTGATAATACCAGCTATATATTTTATAACTTGATTTTTATGCTAGTTCTTGACCCTGAACTTGGAGAAATGTATCACCTGTCTTTCTAAAGAACAGGTTTTCATCATCAAATAGGTAATTACCTTCTTATTGATGATACAGAAGATGAGCTGTCCCTCCTGGGAAGCCATGGAAAACCACTGAAAATATCACATACAGGTTTTGTTCTTTAAGGTCATCTGCTTGAGCAACTAGAAGAAGCTTATCTTTAAGGGCAGTGGCTTTGAAAGACTATTCCTGAGAAAGACAAGTCCCTACTTGTGTCTTGCACCTGACCCAAGGAAAAGAACCAACTGGCCTGAGATGAAGTAACATCAAGGAATTGAGCACTCTCAGGTCTCTGTGTAAATGCCATCTCAGGGAAGCCATCCCGCACATCAGTATGTCATCCACAGGAGCATCACACATTTGTCTAGGATGTGACATCTGTCACCAAAAGCTTTCACACATGTTAGGCAGCATCAGTCATTTGAGCCATTCATCAGATCATCCTGGCTTATTCCCTTCCAGGTGCATGCTAGCATTGCACTTTCCTCTGCTTTTGAAGTTAGATATGACCACGTGTCTTGCTTTGATCAATAAAAAGTAGACTGGTACTAGGTTTCATTCCACTGAGACATTAAGAACTAGTGTGCAATTTGTCCCCCCCTTCCTTTATTTTTTACCCTGCCACTGTGACTAATGACATTCCACATGTCAGGCAACTGGTCCATTAGCCTGAGCCCCAGAAAGAGGGCAACACAGAGCAGAGCCCTCAGTCTATCCATGATAGACCTGTAGCGTAAGCAGGAAATTCAGGGTATGTCGAAGCACACACAGGGTGAGCCTATCCTGCCTGGTTTGGCAGCTAGGGTAGACGTGCTATTGCTGCTTCATTAAATTGATGGAGATTGGGCTTCTTTTACCACTGTTGAGGGGCATTTGGTGGGCAAAAGTGTTGGGATCTCAACACAAATAAAAACTCTTCTAGAAGTCATCATATTTTTCGCTGCTGTGCATTCAAAAAGAAGCCAGCTTCACTTAAGGATGATCTTGAAGAAGCAGTAAGAATTACTTATTAAACCTCAACCCTAAGTACTTATCTTTTTAATATTTGTTGAATGAGGAAATCAATCAATGAATTAACTTTAGTGGAGCAAATCAGGTAACAGAGGGACAGGCCCAGGTTAGGAACAAGAACACAGGACAGAGATCTGGCCAGAGTCAGGCAGGGGTCCTGTCTATGCTCAGAGTGGGAGAACACTGGGGTCTAGACAGGGTAGGTTTAGGCCAATCATCTGGAAATCTAGGACAGTGGCTTAAGGGACACTTAAGGGAGGTTTGGTTGGTATCAGCAGAGGCCAAGCTAACAGGACTGAACAGAAAGTAAGAACAGCTCTCAGGATCAGCAAGAAGCCCAGGAGTTGAAACCAGATTGAAGGTAAATGCTGGATCAACCGCTAGACCAACTTGGTGCAGAATTTCGTAGAGCTGCTATACTGCCCCTATGACTATGGCCAGGATAGGACTGGGGGCCTGTAGAGAGCTGGCAACAAGTTTAAGTGTCCTGATCATAATGAGGGGAAGAGACCATGATATGCAGGAGTGAGAAAACTAGAAGGCTTGAAGTCCATGAGTTTGGCTTCTGTCACCAGCTGTCAGTAAATCCCTAGGCACTATCTTCAGTTTACTCCCCTCTCCTGAGTTACTGACTTGGATATCTATCTATCTGTCCATTTCTTGTTTCAAAGGCAAATATATCAGACCAAAGGCAAATTTATTTTCTCTCCCAATGCAGTCTTCTTTCAGGTTCACTTCTTGTTATGGGGTAGATATGAAGTGTCCCCACCCCCCAAATGATTGTGTTAAAGCTGGTGGTATTATTGACAGGTGACTGGCTCATAGTAGAATGGGTCATTAGGAGGTAGCACCTGGTTACAGGAAGTAGGTCACTGGGGGCATGACTTTGAAGGGTATTTCTGGTCCCCAGATCATTCCTCTCTCTGCTTCCTGGCTGCCATGAGGTGAGCATCTTTCCTGTTCCATGCCTTTCCACATTGCCATGGATTTTAAAGCAATAGAACTGACTAACCCTATAACCAACACATCTCATTGAGTGGACCCACTGTTCATTCATATTCTTCAAGTCAGAACTCTAGGAGCCATTTGTGACTCTTCCTCTCCTTCATCCAGCCTAGTATCCCACCAATCTCCTCAATCTCTTCCCTCTCCATGCACTTCTCTAAACCTTACCACAAAACCACTCTGGGCAAGCTCTGTTAACTCTTTCCCCTAAATCACTGTCCTACATTTCTAGACTGTTGTCCTAAACCCACTCTGTCTGGACCCAAATATTCACCCACTGTGATCACAGGGATCCAGTCCAAATGCATCTACTTGTCACTGCCCTGCTTTCAAGTCCTTCTAAGACTTCCCACTGCTCTTGGGACAGGATGAGAATCCCTCCTGTGGTCTACGCAGCTAAGCATAGTTTTGCCCCTATAAGTATTTGTCCCAGATTATGGCCTCTTCCTCCTCTCACATTCCAGGCTCCTGCTCTCTGCATTCCAGTCCCCTGGACTTCTTTTCAGTTCCTTAAATGTGTGATGCCTCCTCCTGCCCCATGACTCTGGTCATGCTGTTCCCTCTGTCTGCTCCAGCTGCCTTTGAGCCACTCTTGCCCAATTTTTAAAAGTCCCAGCATGGTATCTGACATTGGCTTCCTGCTCCATCTGGGGCCCCAGCTTTCAGAAAGGGCTTCCCTGAGTGTCTCACAGCACTGCCAAGGCTGGGCAGGAGGCCAGAGTGCCCCACCATGGCCAACAGAGGGAAATGGAGCAGAGCTTCCAGCTGGGGCTCCTTGTCCAGCAAAACTTCAGGGGCTGAATAAGCACCATGGCAATGGCACTGAGCATCCCGGCACAGCCCCTATGGCTCTGCCCTCTCATTAAAAGATGGAGGCTGGAAGCAACATTTGACCCTAGAAATGAATTGTTTTTTTCTTCTTTTTCCCTCTTCCTGGACTGCTGGAGACCTTCCTACCTCTGTTCATCTTTTGAAATCTGAGCCAGCCACTTCTCCCTCACTGCCCACGAGGCTGAAGCCACTGTGGTAGTGACCATTATTCAGCTCATGGGCTATACTTAGGGCTACCCATTGGCCACCTCACAGAGATTCCAGATAGGACAGAAGCCCTTTGGAGGGAGCCTCAGGGACATAGTTATAAGAACCGTGAGCTCTGATTCCTGGGAGGAGGAGAGTGTGAGAGGAAGGTGGAGAGGATCCTGGTCTCCCACTTCTGCTCCATATAGCAGATCACTACAGAATGAGCTTCTGCAGAAACCTCCAGTAAGAATGTATTGAGTAGCTGAAAAGAAGTGTTAAAATCTTTGAATACTCTCATTCTGAAGGTGAGGAAACAACAACACTTAAATTTTTCAAAACATTTAAACATTTTTCAGAGTTAAAGTAAGTTGCCCAGCAACAATACAGAGAGAGGTGGAATGAGGAGCCTGTTGTCAGGACTACCTACTCTTCTTTGCACCACTGCCTCTGCAGCTTGAGAAACAACCAGAACTGACACTTGGGGGATGTTCTGCATTTGGAAAAGCACAGTCAGATTCTCTATCCCTTTTGATCCTTGCCTCACTGGACACAAGGAGGATATTTTTACTACTATTCCCACTTTAAATAAGTGGAGGCTAATGTGGTAAAGTAACTTATCTAAGATCACCTCATCATTAAAACACAGATTCAACCCCCTAAACTGAAAACAGGTGTTCAAACAAGTATGTGTGCCCAAATGTTCACAGTGGTACTATTCACAATACCCCAAAGGTGGAAAACCCCCAAAGCCCCACTAATAAATGCATGGGTAAACAAATTACACTCTATCCATCCAGTGGAATTCTTCTACCATAAAAGGAAATGAACTGAGGACACACGCTCTCACAGGGATAAACCTCAACAGCACAATGTTAAGTGAAAGAAGCCGACGCAGAAGGTCTCATATTGGGTGCTTCCATTTATAGGAAATGTCTACACTAGGCAAATCCACGGAGACTGAGTGACAATTGGTGGGGACCAGGAACTAAGGCAAGGAGGAAACAGACAGTAACGTCTAACAGTTATGGAGTTTTCTTTGGGGGTGATAAAATGTGTTGAAACTAGATAGAAGTAGTCACTACAACATCACTGTGAACATCTTAAATGCTACTGATTCATCAATTTAAAATGGTTAATTTTATGGGACTCTCACTTCAATAAAATAAAATAGTAAAATAGGTAGACCCCAAGTCTCAGCTCCTTCCCAACCTCACAGAGTTCACCAATGAGAAAAAGCAGCTATTGAGTCTGTTGACCAACAACCCACAGAATCCCACACCATGTGGGAACATGTAAAAAACAGCAGCAGGTCTGCTTTCTGAATCTACTTACGGTGAACTGCGGCCCTGTCGTAAAAGGATCAGGAAACGGGCTCATTGGGTCAGCCGGGAATGTTTTTATCTTCAAAAAAGAGAAAGACAGGGGGTTACCTTCAGCTTAGAAAAGTTTTGAAAGCATCCTGAGGCTTTCGTTGTTCCCCAGGAGTTGGGGCAGAGTCCCAGCTGTGCCTGGTATTGAACTGTAGGCTGGGCTCCACAGGGAAGGCAGGTTGGAGTCTCGTTTGTTGAACTCCCCAGGCTTGCCTTGCCTGGAGCTCCCTTCATTGGGGTTGGCCTGGGCCATCCATCCAGGCATGTTGAGTCCCAGGCCCGATCCACAAAGGGCCACACTCAAGCTGGATAATGAAGCAAGCCTAAGCTACCCAGGGTGACCTCTGAGGGTTTCTCCACAGCTGTGGGGAATGGCAAAAGGCTCCTGAGAGGTCCATTCAGGACACAGTGTATCTCAGTGGGCAGGACACCAGGAGGCTGGGATAATTAAGTCATAAAAGTAGTCCCTATCTAACGACTTTTGTTGCTAGACTCCCTGTGCATTTTATGCAATAAAAGGAAACCTCAGGTTAATCCATGGAAGCATGTGGGAATCCTGTCACAGAAATGCACACCACCTGGGAACAGTTCCTTTGGAAACTGAAGGCATGGTGCTCAGAAGTGCCCAGTGCTGAGGGTAACTGCAGCACTGAGAACTAGTCTGAAAGAGGTCAGATGCCCCAATCTGGGTTAGGCAGTGGTGTCCAGAAAGACTCTGGGCTTCCATTTCTTTCTCTTTGTTTCTTTTTCTTTGGCTTCCTGGAGGCCTTGAGAAATGCAAAGGCTTATTTCTTCAAGACAGAAGACCAGCAGGCCCAGGGTCTGGTGACTCTGGCATGAACTTTGTCTACAGCCCCCAGGCTAAGAACCTGCCTATGCATCTGCTGGTGAATGTGCACTGCACCTGTAGGGGCTTCAGCCAAGACCCCAAGACCACCCTGCTCAGTGGCAGCAGCCTCGTGTCTCTCAGGAACTTGCCTGTGGACCCTGGGACAGCACCCTGGCCCTCTTCTATTGCTCTAACTGGGGAGGAGAAAGGGATGAGCAAGGGCACAGCAGACCGGACCCAAATTAGCTGTAGTTTTCTGAAAACCACAGGGTAGTTCTCTCAAACAATGTGGGGACAGACAAGTCCTTGCAATTGCACCAAGATGTCCAGCCCAGCCCTGCTCCCCTTCCTTCACATCTCTTTATATATATATCAAAATTCCCAGAATGGATCCCAAACTGAGAAAGACTCTTGGAGTGAAGCTTGTACCTCAACCTGCTTAATGGAACAATGTGGTACTCTGAGAGCAACGTCATAGTGAAAAGCATCCTGTAGATGAGCTCTTAGGCTATTGGACAGTACAGGGAAAGTGCTTTCCCTCTTAAAGAAACACAAAACTTAGTGACCTCAAAAAATGGTTTTGTACCTGCTGTAAAGAGTAAGGCTACATTCCCATGGTCACACTCTCGTGCTTACACTATGGCAGACTCGCCATCTACACTCACCATCTTCAGTTGCCATCTTCTGATGGCACCTCCAGTCAGAATAACCACTTCACAAGGGGGTAAAAGCCAAAGTTATACTATACCCAGGAGGGCCCAGCCTCAGAAAATGAAATCCCTGACATGAAAAGCTACATGTGTTCCCTCGAACAGTGACAAATTAAACGAAGCACACATCCTGCAGTGAGAGATTGGGTCAGCAATTGCGGATTATTCACTTGATGGAATATAAGTAGTCATGTTGAATGTGGCAAGAAGCAGACAGAAACAACACAGTACCAAATGAAAAGAGAAATACAAGAGATGGTGTAGCAACTGTGAATTAATATGTGAAATTATGAATGAATGTGAGTAAATAGAAGGAAACATACAAAAATGAAAAATCATTTTTCATTCCCTAGGTTGGGATTTGAGGTTATTTAAATTTCTAGGTAGCACTTCTATTTTGTCATGATATTGATAAGTGGCAGAGGAAGACAAGGTTAATTTTTTTGTTTTTTACTTTCAATAGAAATGACACTTAAGAATCTAATTGGTGAGTTACCAGAAAAGCATCTATCATAACTGAAATTATAGAAAAACAAACACTTCTTGGTTCTTGAGAGCTATAGCTGAAGGGGTGGAACCACAGCCTGTGTCCCACATTGACCAGGGCCAGCTGGACCCCAAACTCCCCATCCATCTTAGAAAGAGACAGCACCTGACAGTGGGCTCTTCAGAGGTCTGGTGCTCCTGCACGCCCATAAGCCTCTGCCTCACCTGGGCTCCTGACGCCTCACCTGTCCCAGTAGGCCTCTCCCTGGTGGGGTACCTACCAGCCTCGTTTTGATTGGAGGGTACATGCAAACTCCAGTGGTCTCTTCCTTCATGGGGAGAGAGAGTGGAGGAGAACAGCGAGAGTGGGCACAGTGGGGGTTGCTGGCGGGTTCTGCCTGCTCACGAGGAGGAGAGGAGACAAGGGAAGGAGGAGGCAGTGAGACAGGGAAGAGAGAGAGGAGATAAGGGAGGGGAAAGGAAAGAAAGATAGCACAGTGCAAGACAGATCTGGTAACTCCAGACCATTCTTGAGCCAGCCTCGCCTGCAGCCTCCTTCCAGCCTCTGGCTGGCTGGCTACTAGTCCCACCCACCACCCTCCTCTCTCAGCCTCTCTTCTCCTCTCTGTCCCTCATCTCTCTTCTCTACTATGTGAGCAGAAAGACACACCAAAACCCCTTCCCAGGGCTGGCAGGGACAGGATGTCTTCTGTACCAGCTACCCAGGACTGGGAGCAGCTCTCCACCTCCCCCACCCCCATCCCCAGCACACTGTTCGGGTTCCAAAGCATTGCCCAGGCCAAGCCAGAAAGACAGCACCATGAATTAGCAAAGTCAGCAATGGGAGCAATGACCACACATTTAAGCACATTTGCCTTCTAAGCCCTGTGCCCTCTGGCTCTCTGCAGAAAGGCACCCACTATAGTGTGCATATGAGTGGATGTCCAGCAGAGGGCACCAGGAAAGAGCTACATCCCTAGCAGAAACAGAGTCCAGGATTTCATCTGTCATAGTTCTTTGCTATCTGGGTTCAGAAAACAGACTGGCCCTGACTAACTCCCACACCCATGAGCCCAGGCCTTGGCATCTCAGACTGGCAGGGGGACATCTTGCTGCTTAGCTGGAAGACAACAAGCATTATGAGGAAAGTGCTGTGCCCTCTGGGATACCAGCTTCCCTACCCTGGCCCCAAAGAGTGCCACATGCCCAGCAAAGATCCAACAGCTTGTTCTGGTGAGGATGAGGTTGGTGAACTGAGGAAGAGGATACTTGATGTTAGGAGAAGGGGCCGCTACAGGGTTCATTTGGGTTTCAGGGAGGGACCATTCGCTCTAGAGAACAAATACATGTGTCTTTTATTTAGCTCCAGAGTTTCCTTAAACAGTTGGCCTAGTCCCATTGTGAGGAATAAAATACAGCCTCTGGGTAAGTTTCATTGAAGAATGATCGAGAAAATTGCAGGCCTCTTTTCCCTCTTCAAATTGATCTAACTGCCCTCCTGACAATCGTGCAATGCTGGATAGTTTCCAAAGGGCTTTTACAACCATTATCTCACAATGGCCTTCGTAACAGCTTGTTTTACTATTCACATTTGGGAGATGCAAAAATTGCATTGGCAAAGTCTAAATCCCAGGTTCGAGACCCTCTTGTTGATTGTTTCTAAATCCTTCCCTCAGACATAAGTGAGTCCTTATTACTCATTTGCAGTTAAGGTTTCTCAGCCTACTTAAAACCCTCCCACTGTTCTCTTTGGCTCTCGGAAGAAATCCTACCTGCCTAAGATGGTGTTGAGGCTTGTGTGAGCCTGGCTCCCACTTGACCTCCAGTGCCGGATGTTCCAGCCAGAACCAACTACACAAGGGCCCACCAGTTACTGGGCCTTTGCCCCGACTTATATCAACAGACACTCAATGTATGTTTTTTGAAGAAAATAAAAGCTGGCATAAATGACCAAGAAACATAATCATACTGCCTAGAGGCCAAAATGTGTACTATAAGATTATAATGAATGACTTAAGGCTTTGCCAGCATTGGACTTTTATGATAAATGTTAATAACTACACAAGTGTTTCTGACCTTTATAAATAAGCATCAGAGTAGACTTCAACAAAAGATCATCCCTGGACTCTTAGTAAATCCACACTCTTGATTCTTAGTAAATGAGAAGGAAATAAGATAACACATATAAGAAGATACTACTTCAATACACTATTTTACTTTTTTCTCCTGGTATTTCCTTTCCTCTTTGGGGTTTTTTACATTCAGGCTGCTACATTTGTCAATAGATATTTGGCTTTTGAGTTTTAAAATCTGACTTTGGGGGAACAGAAAGATTCTTGGCATATAAATAATCATGACAGTATTCAAATAAGAAAACAGGTTGCTAGTCTGAGGATAGGGGAGAGAAATGAGGCAAAGAGAGGAGGGGTAGACATTAGTGGATACTGAGCCATGGGGCCCAGGTCCCTTCTCCATGGGCTAAGGCTGGCAACAGGGACCACAGCTCCCTCCTCAGCTACAGCTGGGGAGACAGCAGGTCTCAGGACAGAGCAGTGTCCAGCAGGTGGCAACTCACACACCCAGCAGGCAATGATTTCCACCCATCCAAAAGGGCCATGAAAAAAGCAGCGTTCCAGATGTCTCAGTGAAAGTTGACACCATGGACTAAATAGACTTCTCCTCACCTCCTTGCTTCCTGGGGAACATAGATGAAGCCCCAGGGAGACAGAAGGAGTTCCTTGATTGGACTTCAGCTCACACTTTAGCCCTTCTGGAAGAATGAGGTTCAAAACAGACACCAAGTTGCTGAGTCACATGGAAACCCGCCTCTGAGACCCACCCCCGGGTCTGTTCTTATGCCCTATCCAGCCTTCCATCTGCTAGAACAATGCCCTTCCCACACTTGTGCTCTTCACCAACATGCCATGTGCCAGGAGGGGCCTGCCTCCTGATGGCTCTGCTTTGCAGTCAGGTGAGTGATTTAAAAAGTACAGAGCTCACAAAGGGAAAGGTCCAAAAGGGAAAAAGCCAATAACACAGTAGGCACAGATGTTTATGGTCTCTGTTACCTGGGGAGGGAGGTTGGCTGGAAGACCTAGAGTGGAGGGAGGGCAATTTGTTCCTGGAATATCTTCCTCCTATCTCCCCCTTCCTCCGTCAATGGACACCAGTATTCTCCTGCAGTGCTCACGCTCACTTCAGGGAGAAGTGCTGTCTCTACTCACTTGCTTTCTTCCTTCCTGCCCTCAGGCCCCACCTTGTCTGTATTGGTTATGTGGTGATGAACTGGAGATGCAGGAGCTGGGAATGGACCAGGCACCAGGCTTCCGGGGCTGAACTGAGCTACATAGTGCAAGAGTCCAGGATGAGAAAAGCCAGGGGAAATGCTGCAAAGGTGAGGTTGGAAAGTGATTCTGTGTAGAGTTTGAGACTGAGTCCTTGGAGTCATGCAGGATGCAAGAGAATGGAGGAAACAAAACAAGATTCAAGATGAGTTACCAGAGGGTGCTAATTTCATGCGCCTGAATGAAATTTAGCTATGTCCCAATGAAATTTAGTTTTTGCTTTGCTTTGAGAGATGTCAGTTCAAGATCGAACTTTTTATTATTGTTGGCTCTTGGACCATGTTTCTTTGAAAACCTTGGGAGAGCAGCCTGGGAAGTACTTTATATGTAGCCCTTCCTCCAAGCTGCTTTTTCCCAAAGTGATTTCACCCATAGAGCACGTGGGGAGGAGCTAGTCACCCTGGTCCAGCTCGTTTGACCCCTGTGTGATTTCCCCACCACAGGACTCAGTTTCCCTGTCTGTGGAAACGGGTGACGATATGGTGCTAAAAGACCTATTTCTTGGTGACCCTATGTGGAAAGCAGGAGAGAAGAGCCCTTCCATCTCTGAGCAGCTTGGGCAACTGGTCTAACAAGAAGGCCAGTGTGACATTCACTCAAACCTGGGAAGGGCAGAACCCCGAAGGTTCCCAGAGCAGGGTCACCTCTGTCCTTCTCAGCTGCTTATCCAAAGGCGCTGACTCAAGCTCCCAAACTGTGTCAGTGTCCAGGTGAGAAGGACAAGTGTGCAAATGATTTCCCAATACAGCAATGAGGAGTGGTGACCATTCCTAAAGCCTCGACAGTGTTGTGCCTATTTGTTCTCTCTTGAAAGCCTTCCAGAAATCCTTTCCATCCCCACACTCCTCCTCCAGCAAGTGGATGCTAAATAGCTCCTGCTTCTAGCTTCTCCCTGAGAGCTATGTAGCTGTACTTAACCTTTTATCACCTGACTTCCCCTCTAGCCTCAGGTTACCCTCTCCACTCTGAGAGCCTAGCATGTGGCCTGGCACATGGCCAGCTTTCAGGTTTTGACCTGGTTCACATTTCAACCCAAGTGGTGATCTATGCCCAAGTGGACCATGATTTACACTTAAGTACACTCAGGTATTAGGCAGAACCCAGTCAAAGATATGACCAAGTTCACCTGTATTGCCTGATAATGCTAAGAAAGCGCCACACATATAGGTGGTGCTTCCCCCCCCCTTTTTTGCAGGGCCTTATAAATGCTAAGCAAGCATTCTACCACTGAGCTATATCCCCAGCCCATTTTGTGGTGCTCTCCATACTCAAAGGGCTCTCTCTCACGCTCTCTCTCTCTCTCTCTCTCTCACACACACAATTCTCATAATATTCCTGTGACAAACAATGACATCCTTATTTTACAGAAGATGGAGTGGTGACTCTCCAATACCAAGGATCTTATAAAGGGGGACAGAGACTGAAGGACTTGCTTGCGTGACTCCAGGTTCAGTGCTCTGTCCACTAAAAAGGAGTTCTCACCTGTAGGAGTCCCACAAGGGCCACTGTCCCTAAATGGAGACCCATATGCAGAGGATGGATGGTGGTGGGAAATGCAGGGGGCCTGGAAAGCCAGGGTATGGCCTGAAGGTATGGCCTCAAGCCAGTGTTTGAGATCAGACAGGTTGTTGGAAGCAACAGCAAGAGATGGGTGGACATGCAGGGCGCAGCAGGGTGCAGCCCAGGAAGCTAGGAAGCTGATGCCCAAGCATGGAGGAGGCCTACAACCCCAGAGGAGCAGCAGACAGGCATGGGCAGGACCCCTACAACCACCTTCCCAGAAGAGGGCTCCATGAGGTACCAGACCACCCATGACAGCGGATCCCTGAGCCTCCAGGTCAAGAGGAAGCCCTCTCAGCAGCAGTGCCCACCTCGCCATCCATCCACTGCCAAACCATTTCTACCATCTGTGGCTTTTCTGGTTTTAGCAAAATAAGAAGTTTACCAGAGGAGTCACTTCTGTGAAATCCATGAGAAGATCACCCGGCTCCAAGGTGAAGGTGCCTCCTCGGTCAGAGGGGCTCTGTGAAGGTAGACAGAAATATCCCTCGTTAGTGACAGCTCTGGACTGACAACAGAGTTCACCAGAAAAGATGGGAGTGTTCTACCTCTCCTCTACCCCTTTCTAATGCTGAAACCCCCAATATTTCCTTTGCTCAACAAAGTGTCTAGACTAAACTCTAACTTTTTCTGGAACCTTCCTAAGTAGAAAAAAGCCAAGGGATGGGGATTGTCCTTTTTGAAGCTACAGTTTTTCTTAAGTGCTCTGAGAATCCTTTCATCTTTCGGGAAAACTGCTCTAAAGGATCCTTTCAATACATAAAGAGAGAAGAAAGACCGTCCTGCAGGGGATGATCAATTGGTTTCAGGGGCTAACCTGGCCTGCACAGCCATTGCCAAGATACTCATGGTGGGTGGCACCTCTGAACATGTTGTCTTCCTGCTCTGGGGGTCTTAGCTTCATGGGTGGTCTCCAGGACTTTGAGGGAAGAGTAAAAAAGGAGCTCTAACTTGACGCAAGCAGGTTCCTCAGGAGAGGGAGCCCTATGGAATTAGGAGGATGCCTGCTCTGACCCCACCGCTATCCCTTCTGCTTGTAAATATTTCAGCCTGGTTTTAACCAGCTGTGGGATATGTGATAAGGGCCTATGTCCATATTTGAGACAACGCTGTAAGGGGATTTTCTACAGCAGAGGGGAACCCAGGAGATGATCTACAGATCAGCCTCAGTCTGGGCCAGCCACTGGTTAAGGGGCCCAGTTACGCTTCCATATCTTCTCCAGACATCAGGGGAAGAGCCCCTGGGAAAGACTGGCCTTGGTCATGGAAACCATGGGCCTGGATCATTGCTCTTTAGATGCTGCCAGAAATTGTGCCCCAGAAGCTGCAGAATCCTCAGGCATCCAGTTTGTGTAGGCACTAGAACCTTCGCTGGATGTGATGCCAGTTACAGAGCAGGGCAAGGTAACAGATCTTTTCATTTTTAGGAGGAGGCAGCTGAGCATTGAAGACATAGGGCCTAGATGGTGACTACACTTTTAGGGTAGTTGCAAGGCTGTGGTTGGAAGAGCTTGGAACCAGCTGGAGCACTGGCCTTGCTTTTGGGGTACCTGTCTCCTGCGTACTTCTTTTATGTGGTTGTGCAGACTAAAGCCATAAAGTCACCTTTGGCTCAGCAGTGGATAGCAATAGGTTTGACTGTATTTGGACCAATTGCCAAAGACTCACCATCAGTAGAGTCACTCAGAGAAAAGCAAGAGAAATGTCTTGTGTCAGGCCTTTGTCATTGTCATGCACACTACTGGGAATTTCCTGAAACTTCAAACTGATAAAGTAGTATTTCCCAACACAGCTTATCCTATCTAGGGTATGAGATTGGACACATCTGTATTTTTATTCCTCCACATTGTCCATTATTGAGTCAGAGAGCAAGGGATTGTTTCCTTTCCTATAGTGTGGAGTACTAGCTTGGTATTCTAAATCAAAATTGCCCTCAAGAATCCCTTGATTCTGCTCTTGTGTGTGTGTGTGATACTGAGGTTTGAACTCAGGGCCTTGCACTTGTTAGGCAGGTGCTCTACTGCCTGAGTCAAGCCCCCAGACCCTTTTGCTTCAGTTATTTTTATGACAGAGTTTCCTATTTTTTGTCAAGGCTGCCACTCCCCTATTTATGCTTTTCTTATAGTTGGGATGACAGGTATGCACTACCACCCCCAGCTAACTGGTTAAGATGGGAGTCTTGTGAATATTTTGCTGGCCTTAAACTATAATCCTCCTGATCTCTGCATTGGGAATAGTTGGGATTATAGGTTGTGAGACACCGGTACCTGGCCTAAACTGCTCTTAAGGTACAGTGTACATGGTTTTATGTCATACCATGTTTCTCATGAATGGTTGGTCTATATTTGGGGGTCATGGCATATGGAAACATGTTCTGCTGGGTTTTTTAGTGACTGCACTTAAGTGACTAAAGAAACTTAAATGTACACACCCAATGCCACTCACCAAACAGACCCTAAATTCCCAGCATGGATGACTACTCCTCGGGGCTCTTTCCCATACCTTGGCCCCCGGGGACAGCGGGCTCTTGCCTTCTGACTTCTGAGGTGAGCTGACTTTCTGGACCTTGGGGGATGCCAGTGGCACCGAGACTTGTGTGGCAGCAGTCATGGTGTCTGTGGTTGTAGCTGTGGTGGTGCCCACTGCCTCAGCCAGGTCTGGAGGGAGGTCGTCTTCATCACTACGGTTACTAAAAGCACATGAAGCTCTGCTCATTACAATAATACACAGACTTCGAGGCACACAGGGAGGCCGGGGAGGGGTGGGAGCCAGGGTGGGGCCAGGGCTCCCCAAACAGATATCCACCAGATGTCATCTTACATGATCCAATACAATGACTTTTACCAAAGCAAATTTGGGCTGGAGTTTCTGTCACTTGCCAAGTGTGTGTGTGTGTGTGTGTGTGTGTGTGTGTTGAATTGTGGTAAAATATATAGAATGTGGTAGTTATCATTTTAACCACTTATATGTGAACAATTTAGTGGCACTAAATCCATTCACAAAGTTGTATAATTGTCCTACTATCCATCTCCAAAATCTCTTCAGCAATCCCAACCGAAACTCTACAGTTTAAACAATATCTCCCAGGTCCCTTCCCTACAGTGTCTGGTAACAGCTATTCTCCTTTCTGTCTTGATGAATTTACTTACTTCAGGTACCTCAGGTAAGTGAGATAACACAGCATCTGTCCTTTTGGGTCTGGTTTACTTCACTCACCATGATGTTTTCAAGGTCTAACCATGTGACATATATCAAAATTTCATTCCTTTTTTATGGTGAAAAAAAATACTCCATTGCATGGTTATACCACATTTTCTTATTTATTCACCTGTTGATGGAACTCAGGCTGCTTCTAACTTTTGTCTCTTGTGACTAATGCTGCTATACACAGGGATATACAAACATTTGTTTGAGTCCCTGATTGCAATTCTTTTGGACTGGCATTTCACCTAGGACTGGAAGCTGGGTCATATGACAGTTCTGTGTTTAACTTCTTCAGGAGCCATCAAATCAAGGGACAGTATTCTGAGTGGCTTCTCTTGGGCTCTTCAGAACCCACTGCTCTGTGTCAAGGATATAACGGCCCCTTTGTCCCTTGGGTATGATAAACTGGTTATAAGGGAGGAGCTGGGCAAATTTGTCTTGGGGCCAAGTAACTCTGGTCTGAGAACCTTTCTACCAGAAGTAGGTGGCCGAGGAAGAAAATCACACTGGCTAGGAAGTCCTCATGAGGGAGAAGTCTGGCCTGGCACTGTGAGCTTATGTACCCCATGGCTTGGATTTGGAAGAAAGCTCTGACAACCCACACAGTGTGCCAAGGATGGAAGCCCCTTCTGATCTGGTCGTTCTGGTACAAGCACCAGACCAGTGCCACTGAGTCCCCATTCTTAGAATGGACAGTTTTTTCTCAAACCTAGAGAAACTAAGGCAACTCTCCCAGCCCCTAATGCCAACAAGACAGCTGCCTGTGCAGCAAAGGAATCACTCAACAGGACTTCGGTGCTCAAACCCTGCACATTGCAAAGGAAACACTGGCAGTACCAAACTTGGGAGATATCCTTCAGGCTTCTGGAGCATCCTTCCTAAGGACAGTGTCCTTGTGCACCTGAGACCTTGAGCTACATCAGACATTTTATGCTATGAACGTGACTTATGGCAAAACATCTGGTTTTCTACACCCTAGGTTTGGGGCCCTGCTGTATCAGCCTGACATCTGGAGAGTGGTATAGATTGAATGATTAAGTCAGTTATGGGGGTGCTCCATGCCTGTGTGATTGATGTTTCCCTGGTTGGTAATACTTCCCGTATTCTGTCACACATTATTGCTGGGAGAACGAATGTCTATCCTTGTGACTCCACACAAGAGGACAATGGGAGCCCTTATTTTTTCCTAGACTCCACCCTCTGTGCCTTTTTCCTTTGCTGATATTAACCAGCAGTACTGGGATTTGAATCAGAACTTGTGCTTGCTAGGCAGCCATTCTATCACTTGAGCCACACACCCAGACCTTTTTATGTTTTATTCTTACATTTTTGCCTGGGGTTGGCCCCAGACTGTGATCCTCCTACTTATGGCCTCCACCTAGCTGGGATGACAGGTACCCAGGTGTGCTCACTATGCCTGGATTATTGGTTGAGTTGGGGTCTTGCTAACTTTTTGCCTGGGCTGCCCTTGACCTGCAATCCTCCCAATCTCTACCTCCTGAGTAGCTGAGATTACAGGCTTGATCCACTCCACCCAGCCTTAATCTGTAGTCTTTGCTATAATAAACTCTAACTATGTGGATAACTGCTTTGCTGAATACTGTGAGTCCTTCTGCCTTTGAGGCTGGTCTTGGGCATCTCTGACACACCACTCCTAAGTGTCTTCATAGGAAACTTCTGGAGCCACTGTGGCACGAGTTTTTGAAATGATAGCTGAGATCAAGAGTGTAGATCAAAGACCCATGATAAAAGATAACAGAAAAATGAGGTCAGTGCAGGGTCCCTCATGAGGGCTCTGTAGCAGTGGCCTCCTGGGAATCATAGCCATGGGACATGGCTACATTATGAATGGGTCCCAGGGGATTTTAGCTCATTCTGTATGTGAAGAAGTCTCAAGAGGAAGATTTAGGACTCATTACTAACAAGGGGAAAAGTGAGTTTGAAAAAGTATGTGGAAAAATTAATGAGGGACCACATATTTGCACCCACAGGGATGAAGCGAGTCAGCTCCGTTACACAGGTGTTCACTGGTAAATTTTCTCAACAAACTTGTATTATGATCTTCATTTTCCAGAGACTCAGATGTGATATCCAGTGGCTGATTGTGAAATTACTTGTTCAAAATCACAAAGCTACTGAAGTAGAGGAGGTGAATTAAGTTTTGTTTTTTTTTAACCTCATAAAAAAATAAATTGGGCTGGGCGCTGGTGGCTCACATCTGTAATCCTAGCTGCTCAGAAGACCCTATCTTGAAAAGACCCAGCACAAAAAGGTCTGGTGGAATGGCTCAAGGGTAGAGTGCCTGCCTAACAAGTGTGAGGTCCTGAGTTCAAACCATCAAAAAAATTAGTCACATAGCTGGTGAAGATGAATGGATTCTTTTTTTTTTAACCTCATTAAAAGAACTTTAACCTTAAAAGCAGAGTTACCATTTACTTTTACATAAAAAGCCATTTAAAAACATAGCTCATCTCTCATAGAAGGAAGTCAGCCAATACTGTTCTAAAATTGGAAAAGTCACTAATATAAAAAAAATAAATAAAATAAAATTAGAAAAGGTCCAAATTCCTCATGGCTTTTTAAGTCATTTGTCTTAACTTTAGATCTATGACAAAGAAACATACCCAAAATTCAGTAAGTACTCCTAATTTACCTCAGCTTCTGAGATAAATTCATGCTAAATTCACAAAACAACATTTGAATAGATAAAATTTTATGTGCAATCTTTGCCTTGAAATTATTTCTTTCTATTTTAATAACAGATATGCACGGAAACTTGTCTAAAGTAACAGTCATTGACTGTGAACACTGCACTTGTTTGCTTGCTTGCTTTGAGACAAGGTCTTGCTATGTAGCTCAGGCTGGCCTCGAACTTACTATGTAACCCAAGCTGGTCTTGAACTTGCGATCCTCCTCTCAGCCTCCCAAGTACTGGGATTACAGATGTGTGCCACCATGCCTGACTTTTTCTGTTTGTTTTTGTTTTGTGTGTGGTGCTATGGATGAACCTAGGGCTTGTACATGCAGAGAAGGCTTCGACCATGGAACTACATCCTAGCCCCTACTGGTTATTTTTTATGGCATGGGTCTCAGGAATTGGTTACTTTTGTCATTGAATTTTTCTGTTGTGCCTATTGAATTCTTAAAGACTCTTTCACTGTATTTAAGTAACTAGTAAAATTGTTTTTTTGGAAAAAGATAAAACAGTTCACTGTTTTCTTTCTTTGTTTTTTCTGAGATGGGGCTCTCACTTTGTTACCCAGGCTGGCCTCAAATTCTGGGTTCAAGTGATACTCCTTGATACTCAGCCTTCTGAGTAGCTGGGACTATATGTGTGCCCCACTGCACTTGGTTTGCTTGCCATTTTCTAAACACACCAGCTATCAATATAAAAAAGATATTTTTATGTGCTTCAAAATCTTTATAGAATTCCTTTGTGTCTCCCTCCCTTCTCTCTGCACATAGCTGTTACTCTTTATCTCCCTGTCAAATTTCCAGGAAAGAACATGATGAAAGTTTTTAAATTTCTTTTTCTGTATGTGTGTGTGGTACTGGAGTTTGATCTTAGGGCCTCACACTTGCTAGGCAGGCAGTCTGCCACTTCAGCCATTCTGCCAGCCCATGGTGGATGTTTTTATTTATATCCTTAAAAGCAGTGCCTTGACAACTTGTTCAGAGCACCTGAATGTTATGATGGTCTTTGTAGAGCAACTAAAATCCTAAGCCAGGCCTAGGAACTAAGAATAAAATAACAGCATACACATCACTATCTCAAAAAATGATAATGCAAAGCTGGGGGTGGGGATGCACATCTACAATCCCAGCTATTAGGGAAGCAGAGGTAGGAGGATTGCAGTTTCAGACTAACTGGGGAAAGTTAGTGCAAGATCCATCTGAAAAACAAACTAGAAAGCAAAAGGACTGGGGGCATAGCTCAAGTGGTAGAGCACTTGCTTTAAAAAAATAATAATGCAAAAAACAGTCGCAGAAAATCAGAAAGCTAAGTTTTCCATCTGTGTTCTTGGCCATGGATTTATCACTACCTATGAGTTAAAGAGATGAGCAAATGAACAGTAACCAGTGTCAAAAATTCAAGAACTATTTCTAGGACAAAAAACTTAACAATGGGAAAAATTCGATCCATTAATTTTGCTATTTTTCCACAACTGGGGAAATGCTGTCATTCTTTGACTTTTCCAAGCAGAATATTTTGAGCTAGCTTAAGAAATACATATTGAAGTTAGAGGTTTGAAAAGGGTTTTCTTAAAAGAGCTAATGTGGTGAAGGGTTTTTCTGAAAGAGCCAATTTGGTGAGTGAGTGAAATTTTCTTTCTTTCCAGACCACCTATCAGTCAGCCATTATGTCAAACATGATTATATATCCCAAATGGGTAATAATAACATTTTGAGTTTCAAAATGTAAAAGTGAAAAGGCATATCCTGCCAGCCTTGGCCTCAGGGAAGCTGATTTCCATGGTGTAATTTGTCCCCCAGAGATCATTAGGACGCTAATTATTTGAACCCTATTCCTTTTGGCTTGTCTAGGAAATGCAGCTGCTATACTGTCCAGAAGTTCCTATTAAGGCTAATGAGATGGTATGTGAAAACCCCCAGCATGCCTCTTCCTCTCTTCATAAGGTAAAAATGGCAGGTCTTTGAGTACTGTTCCTGGCATTGCACTCCCTGTCCTACACTTTGCACCTTGGGGACCCCCTATCCTCCACCTTTGCTCAAAAGCTTCCGGGTCCTAGAGAAGGAGGGAAAGTTGTGTATCCTGAGACACTGTCTCAAGTTACAACTCACAAAATTTCTCAGAGGTAGTTATTAGCTCACCCATTTTATAGATGAAGAAAGAACAGGTCAAAAAAGTAAATATCCCAAGAAGGTACAGTTCTAACAACTGCAGAGTCCCATGCTTCCATTGTGTCCTGAAATCGCCCTGCAGCTCCCTGACCAATTATACATCTACACAGTGCCTGGGCCAGAGCCAGGTTAAGAAATGGACACCACCATTGTGGTGAATACCACATCTATGACTAATGCCATCACCACCCTTACTATAGCACTTGCCTACCTCCTTTGGATTATAATTATTTGTGATTCTGTCTTTACCTGCAATACATTGTGAATCTTTGGACTAGAACTGTCAAAGTCACTTTTGCTAGTCCCTGACAATGCTTAGAACAGTCCAGTGTATACTATGGCCAAGACTTGTTACTCTGAGCTGAACAGAAGTGGATGGGCCTGGTGGGATATATCTCATTCCACCATCTCATGTACAGCTCTGTGACTAGCTTGGGCTCTGCTGACCAACCATGCTACCATTTTACTATGACACAACGGGGAGCAGTTTCTGCTCTGGCCTCCAGTGACCTTCTCCTATATTTGTTCCTGTGGAATGCCTCCTCTTGAATGTGAGCTGGACCTAGTCACTTGCTTTTAACGAACTGAATATGACAATATTCTGTGAATATGTTATTTCTGTGATTAGCTTACAAAAGACTTGACTTTGACCTTGCTAGCACTCTCTGGCTCTTTTCATGTCCCTTCTCTGATGGAGAAACTCTAGGTGACTACAGACCTTGCTCTTACAGCCCTCAAGGAACTGAGTTCCTGCCAGCAATCATATGAATTGAGCCTTCACGTGTGTCCACAGCCCTTGCTGACATCTTCAGTGCAACCTTGTGAGTGACAATAACACAGAAGACCCAGGTAAGCCATTCCAGAATCCCAACCCCTATCAACTGTGAGGTGATAAACATGGATTGTTCTGAGTAGTCTGTTACACTGCAATCACTGATGAACACATATGCCAACTATATAATATTTTCAGGAATAAAAGTCTGGTCCCCTTGTCATCCAAATTAGAATTTGGGGATGGCTATCTGGGAATGGTATGAAGGATGAAGAAGCATTTATAATGAACCACTTTTCATTATAAAGTCCAGTTGTTAAAAAAGTGAAACACGTGAAGTGCAGAACTCACAAGCTATATTGTCTTGTTAACTTCCTCACTCGGGGAGGCTTGATTTCCAGCTTTTCCACAGCAGGCTGGGCAGTTTCCACACGTATTGGGATAGGACTTCTAGAGGCATACCAGAAAAAACAGAGCACCACCAACAGAAAAGGTTTATGGTCTTGTTTTGGCCATATGGACGGCTTTCTCAGCTACTTTGTACCTTAATAACATTGATAGTCAAGAAATACACTGTTTGTCCTTCCATTCTAATATTTAATCATCACAATTATTTTAAAACCCAGAAAATCCAACAAAACCAAACAACTCAAAATCATAGGAAAGAAATTACAACAAGTGGGTTACCTAATAAAATTACCCTACCCCAAAAAGTACCCCCCAGATACTGACCAAACAGGGTTTGGTTCATGATCAGGTTTTGCCAGTACAAGTGGAGAGAAACCAAGCGATAACTCAACTCCATTTCCAATAATCTGGGAGTTGTGCTATTTTAAACATAACATAAAATATATTTTTTAAAATGAAGAACCTAATATAGTTTATGTATAAAATGCACAATAAGAAGACCTTTAGGATTTGCTCTAAAGCATTTAAATTCTATGTATACATGAAAATGTTCAAAATTAAGTTTTTTGTTTTTTTTTGTGGTACTGGGGTTTGGACATAGGGCCCCATGCTTATAAGGCAGGCACTCTACCACTTGAGCCATTTTGCCAGTCCAACTTTCACTTTTATCTTTCCATAATCATTTATGCCAGATATCCGATGGACCCTATTCAAAACACAGACCTCAAGGAAAAACTTTACACATTCTTATAGTGGTCATGAACAATTTCATTTAAAAAAAATCAGTAATTACCTTCTAGCACCAAAGAAGCATCAAAACAAGTTGAGGCCCTCAGTAAGGAGCCCCTCACGAGTCAATTAACTCCTCGGGGCCTCCATATTCTCTTCTACTCAGTCCTAATTATGTGACAAGTATGTAGTTAAGTGTTTGTTGGATAAATATAGAAATGAGTAAACGAGGAATGCTGCACTCGTGGTTCCCTCAGTCTGGGACCCAGAGTAAACTGGATATGGTCCCTGGAAGGACTCCATCTCCTCCGTGCACATAACCTTGCCTGGGTAGAATGGTTGCTACCTGGGAGAGCCTCACCTGATGAAGGAAGACCACCAAGATGGGCGATTGAGTGGAGACCTGATGAATGCAGGGCACCAGAACTGCTGATGTGGGAGGTCCCAGGAGAAGAGCAAGGGATGGGGACTAGAGGGAAAGCAGGGGTCAGGTCATAAGGGACCTTGGGCTCAGGAGTTTACACTGAAGGCAAATGGCAGTCTCTATAGGTTCAGGCAGAGTGAGACTTGCATTTTTGAAAGGTCCCCAGAGCAGTGAAGAAGGCAGTGGTGAAAGGAGGCCAGGGCCTCTTAGAAAATTGCTGCAATAGTCATGAGGAGGACAGAAATGAGGGCTGGGGGTAGGCAGGGATGATGATCCTGAAGAGGAAATGGTACATGTGGGAGCTAATAGGAAAGTCAAATTGATAGGTGGTGGTGACCAATTAGGTGAGGTGATGAGGCAGGGGGAAGTCAAGGATTCCCAGGTTTCCAGCCTGGGTAAGGAGAAGGTAATGATGTTATTCACCAAGACTGGAAAACAGGTGAAAAGTAGGTAGGAAGAAATAAATTAAGATTTGTTGGTTGTTTTTATTATTTTTTTTAATGCTGGAGATCAAACCCAGGACCTTGCACACGCTAGGCAAGTACTCTACCACTGAGCTATATCTCCAGCCTAAATTAAGTCTTTGAAAAGTCCAGGGGAAACTTATACCAAGAATATAGGATACAGATTGAGAATCCTATTCTGACAGAAAACGTTAGCTTTTATGTTGGGCATGAAGTATAAGAATTCCCTATGGTCCTATAACACTGGGAGTTTGTTAAAATGCCTGTCTCCACCACCCTCCACGCCCAATACACATACGTGTGCGCACACACACACACACACAATCTAGGGCCTGGGGATATGGCTCAGTGGTAGAACACTTGTGTAGCATAAACAAGGCACTGGGTTTGATCCCCAGTGATGTGGAAAAGTAAAGAAAAGGAAAAAAAAAAAAAGGGAAAGCAAATAAAAGAAAAGAAAAAAGAAATTGTGTGTTTTGAACAAGAGACTGATATGGTGATCCTTGGACCCATTTGAGAAAACTGTCCTAGGGAGTTTTTTATGGTTTGGATATGAAGTGTTCCCCAAAGGGCTCATGTGTTAGGGACTTGGTCCCCAGCTGGTGGTGCTATTTTGGGAGATCTTGCAAACTTTAGGAGGTGGAACCTAGTTGGAGGAATTCAGCCACTGGGGGCATGACTTTGAAGGTTACACTTGGTCCTAGTCCCTTCCTCACTCTTTGTTTCCTATCTGTCATGAAATGAGTAGCTTCTGCCGCTTGCTCCTACCACTATGATGTATGTTCTGCCTTGCCTCAGGCCCAAAATCAATGGAGCTGAGGACTATGGGCTAAAACAAATCTCTCCTCCTTCAAGTTGTTTCTGTCAGGTAGATTGTCACAGCAATGAGAAAAGTAACTAATGCAGAGCCCCTGCAGGTGGTAGTTCACCCCAGGGGACAATGAGGCTGTCTTGATTGGACTGAGAGAGGAAGTTTCCATTCTTTGTGCCATCAGGGGAACAGGGGCTCCCTCTGGCTTTGGGGCAGTGGAAGCAGTGGCTTAGGAACTTTAGTGAACATGTGTGAGCACAATTCTGGCAAGGAGCCCAGTAAAAGTGGCACAACCATGAGCCCAGGGAGAAGTGCTGAGCAGAAACCAGTCAGGGAAAAGCCTCCTGTGTGGCATTAGGGAGGCTGGACTCCACTCTGAGAGCACAGCTTTCAAAGGATTTCATACAGGGGCACGACCAGGTCAGACTGACACGCTTGAGAGACAACTCCAAGTGACTGAGTTCTTTGTTAATACAGCAGGTAGCAATGTTCATACTAGGACTAAGTAACATTTTTGAGGCTTAAAGGAAGTTTTTAAGTGGTTTCTTTGGGCTCACATTCTCTCAGTTTCATTTTCCCTCTGATTTTCTCAGCCTGTTCTCCCATGAGCAATGTTTTAGGAGAATGCTGGCCACACAGAGAAACCATTCCCCATTCAAACATGAAGCAACAGACCTTACATTAGTGTCCTGAAGACTGGATTTCTTATTGATATTTACAAACATTGATTCTTCTTTTCCAATCTGTTAAAGAAAACAGTAAGGTTAATCAAAACTGAGTATCTAGGCATGCAAAAATGTTTTCAAGTCTCTTATGGTCATCCTCTCAAAACACACTAATCCAGGGCTTTCCAAGCAGGTTCCTGTGTCCCCGTGAACACCACTCCTACAGGTGACAGTGGGAGCCATTAGGTGTGGCCATTATGTGTGAAGAAAAATAAAACAACTTTCCTTGCTGCAGGACTTCTCAGAGACTGTAAGATGCTAAATGTGTATTCAGATTGCTTCAAGGGGATTAGTGAGCAGTGTTTCCAGAATGACTGCTCCTTGCACCATCCTGGGAAACAGTGCTCTGAAGGTACATCACTCTCTCCTCCCTTCCTGCTTTTAGAACCTTCTGCTATATCTGTTTGGCCAGGATATTTTCTTTTCTTTGTACCTATTTCTCACCTTTTCCTAAACTTTGAAAAATGAAGCATTTCCAACACACTGTACTTCTTCACTGGCAAAAACTGGAGCCCTCTATAGCTGATGCATAAAGCATGGGGCCACCAGGAACAGGACAGAATCTTCTAACGTAGGTAATATTAGCTTTGTCAATTATGAAATATATGTCAGTTTCATTTGTTCTGCAATCGTACAAAATGCATACTTTAAAACAGTGATGGCAGTAGAAGTAAGACAGAGAATTTGTGGCTATAACTCTGATATAACTGAGTTTGCAATGAGAAGTCAACCTGACCATTCTACAAAAAGTGCTTCCACCATTATCTGCAGGTGATCAGTGACCAATCTGATTGCTTATATCTGAGATCAGTATTGTTGATGTCTCCACAATGGTAGCACAAGGCACTGTTTTCTTAAATCTTTACAAAAACCTAAGGTGGTACTGTAATCCCCATGTTACACAGCAGGAAATGGGCTCAGAGAGATTGACAAGTCAGATGACATTGTGATAAACATCAGATCCATTCACACCTAGACCATGTGACTTCCAAACTTGAATTCTATACCTTACAGCTTCCTGCTTACATCACAACCCCTAAGTGGAAGAACATTTATACATTTTCTCTTGTTTTTCATGGTACGTTCTGGAAGGATCTGAACTATTCAGATTGCTACACACATGAGTGGAGACAATAGTATAATGGATTACTGAAACTGTATCCTTGGCAACATAGGCCTTCATATTAGCTTCATAAGGAATGAAAAGCATTACATATTTTCTGATGAACTCGGAGATAACTATAGCTTTCTATATGCTGTTTTCAGGGTAGGGATGGTAAGTGTTCACTTTGGAACACCATCAAGAAAATGATTCTGAGAGCTGGACATGGAGGTACACACCTATAATCTCAGCTCCTGGGAAGGTAGAGGCAGGAAGGTCACAAATTATAGGTCAGCCCAGGTAAAAAGTTAGCAAGACCCTGTCTTGAGAGAACAAAACACAAACTAAAGAGCTGGGGTTGTGGCTCAAGTGGTAGAACGCCTGCTAGCATACACAGGCCCTGGGTTCAATTCCAGTACCACAAAAATAAATAAAATAAAATAAGATTCCAAGGCTGCATTTAGGGATGCAGGGAGCATGTAGTGGTCGCTATATAACCAGTTATCTTTGTTATGAGTACAAGTGGGGGAATTTATGGTGGTTATTAAACAATCATCTCTCATTGGCAAACTCACCTTCTGAACCACTACTTTGTGGACCTGGGCTGAAAACCAGCAAATTCACTTCTGCTTTACCAGCAGGGGCGCCAGCGGGGAAGGACTTGCTCCTTCCTGTCTGCTTCCTGTTCCTGTGGGACACCCAGCCTGGCCCTGAACCCTGGTGCTGCTAAGTCCATGTTACAATTTTCCAGCACTGACAGATCCAGTGTCATCATGTCCACCTTGGACACAGCACAGCTCGCTGACTGCTCTCCCCCTCAGAAGCTGGAACCAGGACACATGGTTCAGCTCAGAGGCCCCAGTACTGGCCATAGAGATCCCTGCTCAGAAGCCCCCTGCATGGGCTCCTCCTCTGAGCATCTACATTTTAATATTGACAGCATCTTTGCTCCCTCAGCTGTTAGGATGGGACATACTTCCTGAACCTAGTCCCTCAGCGTTGTGTGAATCAAAATGGGGTCCTGGGAGATAGGTAGAAATGCAGTCATTAGTCCCCACCCTGACCTATTCAATCCCTGGGGCTGTTCTCCTGCTGGCTCGCACACATTAACATGTGACATCTGCTCCTTGCAGTTCTCCCTCCTCTTTCACTTGTCCACCTCATAACTGTACACCAGTTAGTCATTCTTACATTAAAATTCTCATTCATGCACCACATGTGGCTCTGACTCCAGGAAACCCTGACTGACACCACATCACAGTCCTTTCTCTTGCCCTTGAACATGAAATCAAAGCAAAGCACACCTGGGCATTCACCCGAGGAGCATTCTCCAACTGCGCTTTCAAAATGTTGCACTTCACGTGATCCACCACGGGGGAAGGCAACAGTGGGCTCTGAAGGGTCTTCTCCGAAACTTTCTTCTCTTCAGCCTGAGGCAAAGCAAAATATAGGTGACAGATTATTTTTTCAAAAGGTTATGAACAAGGACAAAAGAAAGCATATGCATTAACTTTACCTAATAATTGCAACAGTGAAACAGCAGAGAAGTAAGTGTCCGAGTAAGGGTGGTTGCTAAACCATCATCCAGATGCACCTCTGGGCCTCTATTTTGTGGACCTGGGGCTGAGAACCAGCTTATTTTTGCTTTGCCAGCAGGGGGCACCAGTGGGGAGACTTGCTCCATGCAGTCTGCTGATGCCACCATCAGCTCCTATGCTTGAGCCAGTGTTTTACTGTGCAGAAGATTCACAAGCATATCTCTTTGGGAGGCAGCAAGAGGATGGATCAGGAGTGGGGAAGTGAAGGTTCAAGGCAGGAAGGGATTGTCCACGATCATGCAGTGAAAGCCAGTGACAGGACCAGGACTTAGTTTCAACCTCCCTACACCCACTCCAGCACTATTTTCCCCATAACTGCTGCCTCTGACATAGAAAGACCCTGCCTGTATGATTTGTAGAATCAAGGGGGAAAGTGCAAAAAATCTGTTGATACTTTTACAATAAACCTGGCTGGAAACTATGATTCTCAGCAAGGAATTTGTATCTATGTTCCCTTAGTTGTTTTGGTGTGGGAAGATGGAACCCGGGGCCTTGTCCAGGCTGAGTACTACTCTAACCACTGAGCCATGCCCTCAGCCTCATATTACGTTAGTGTAATTTGGACTACCTTCTCTGCCGTTGCCATCTCCCACCTATTAACTGAACACGTACCTAAGATTCACGTGACCCAGTTAAGGTGGGTTACCCTGAGTTTCATACGAAGCATGTTGAAGCAATAATATCTTTGAAATCATAGGTTGGTAACTATTGCATTTATTACCATAGTCATAATGATATTTACATAACTATTAAAATAAAAAATACCCATCGATGAGTGTAGCCTGAAATCATCTTCGATGGTACACACATCACTTTTTTTTTGTTCATCATACCTATCACGGTCACTGCAAATCCCAGTACAATATCAGGCTGGGAACAGAGCAGGTGCCAAATAAACAGTGACTGTGTGTTAATGTGTGTTAACAGTGTTGTTATTACCCAAAGAGACAGATGTTTAATAAGAAAGGCACAGATTATGATTATTAGAAGTCAATTCTGTGTATCAGGACCATGACAGCCACCATGTACCAGGACAAGAATAAAATATTCTAAGGCCCCAAGGTTTTTCAGGTTCTGACATTAATGTTATTCACTAAGTACTAAGGAGTACTGAGGGTCTCGGTACCCCTTGTAGGAATATTATGAATGCCACAGAGGAAGCATAGGGCAGTGGGCTGGCAGACATTATTTAATAAAGAAAAGGGGACACAAGAGAGAGTTTCCCAGTGGGACCTATGGACTCACAGAGGAGTTTGTGGTAGAACAAGCAGAGCCCAGCAACTTCATTTACTACCAAGACAGGTTGAGGCAGAAGTTCTGGATTTGAACCTCAACTTTCCCTTTCTAGATGATGGTGATGGTGACAAAAAGAAAAGCAATGGCGGTAGTCAATATTACTGAGCTCTCGTTAGCAGCAGTATTAGCATCCATATTAGCGTATGTGGTATGGGGGATTGAACCCAGGGCCTCTACTTACTAAATGAGCACCCTAACACTTGAGTATTTTTTTGTTTGTTGTTTGTTTTTTGAGATAGGATCTCCTCAACTTTGCTTGGGATGGCCTCAAACTTGAGATCCTTCTGCCTCTACCTCCCCCATAGGTGGGATTATAGTTGAGCACCTGACTACACACTTCATATGTGCTGTCACTGAATCCTCTCATTTGTCCTTCCATCTGAAGGCAGGTACTGCTATTACACCCACTTCAGTAAAAAGTAAAAGATGTACATGACCTGAAAAGAAACCAGAGTATTATCATACATGAAAAAATAAAGCAGGGCAGTAGGAAGTCACTTGCCTAAGGTCACAGAAAAGGTAAGCATAGGAGCCAAGATGTACAACCAGGAATGGTGACTTTGGTTGACTCCAAAGCCCGAGTTCTTAACCACTCAACCATACCAGCTCCCCTTAACCTCTCTGCCTCAGTTTCTTCCTTCGTAAGATTTTTAGGATGATCAAATGAGAAAAAAAAGATATGAATGGCACGTATGCTAGATGCTTTGGTTAGAAAGAAAATACAGCGCTGGCATGGCGATACACACTTGTAATCCCAGCTATTCAAGAGATGGAGATAAGAAGGATTGAGGTTTCATGCCAACTAGGGCCAAAAAAAAGTTAAAATGAGAGCCTATCTCAAAAAACAAGCCAGGCGTGGTGTTGTGTGCTTACAATTCCAATTATGCAGGAGGCATATGTAGGAGAATTGCAGTCTGAGGTTGGCCTGGGCAAAAGCATAAGACTCTATCTAAAAAATAACTAAAGTAAAAAAAAAAAAGCCTGGGGGCATAGCTCAGGTGGTAGAGCATCTGCCTAGCAAGTCCAAGGCGCTGAGTTCAAACCCCAGTACTGTAGGAAAAAAGAAAATACAATTAAAAAAAACACATCAAATGTGAGGACACAGCGATTCTAAGCCAGTGAGTTAGGCTTGAAGACCTGGCTCATTTGCCTGGATTCACTTTCCTGAGGGATTTCGCTTTCTCCTTGAGGCAAACGAGTAACTTATTTATAACTTATTATTTTGAAAGGTGAAGTTTGTAAGTAAAGACTTTGGATAATTTATTCTGTGTTTGTCAACTCAGTTACATTAAGATATTTGTTCCACACTTAAAATGGACATTTTCATTGAGGTATGAAGAGTTAACTTTTAATTAGGCTTCAGTTTTTTTAACTAATACCCTGGGATCCAGGAATTAAATTAGTTACAAAGCCCATTTGAGGGTTTTGACAGTTGCTTAAGGGAATGTAGTTACACTGACAGTAACGACCGAAGACCTGCTTAAAAAATTGGAATGCAGCTAAAATAAGAAAAGAATAGCATTGAGCATTGATTTTCACCTTCTTAGTCATTCTAAACTGCTTTTTTGGACATAAAATTCAAGCTGGCTTATTCCTGTTCCATCTGGACAAAGCAAGAGCAGTAATGTTAGCTGTATGTATTGACTCAGGTAAAGGCCAAAATAAATTTTGGAACATTTGTGCCCCGTTGGGTGACTTTTTGTTTGTTTGCAAGGTGTCGCTACAGGAGATTATAAGGCCACAGTTCCAGCCTGGAGGATGGTCTCACAAATTTTGTACTTTCTGTCTTTTGAATGACCATACTTCAGGTTCAATTTGTGTGACTCAAGTGGTAGAGTGACTGTGTAGAAAGTGTGAGGCTCAGAGTTCAACCCCCAACACCACAAAATAAATAAATAAATAAATAAAACTAGGGGGAGGTACTTTATCATTCACTATGGCACAGTGATTTCAGAACACAGAAACGTGAGATGGGCATGATGACACAGGCCTCTAATCCCAGCACCTGGGAGGCACAGGCAGGAGGATCCTGAGTTTGAGGCCAATCAAAGCACGAGTCCCAGGCCAGCCTCAGATACATGGTGAGACTCTGTCTTAAAAAACAAAAATAAGCTGGGTGGCTCATGTCTGTAATCCTACCTTCTCAGGAGGCAGAGATCAGGAGGATCACAGTTCGAAGCCAGCCCAGGCAAATAGTTCTTGATTCCCTATCTTGAAAAAACCCATCAAATCAAGGGGCTGGCAGAGTGGCTCAAGGTGAAGGCCCTGAGTTCAAACCCCAGTACAGCAAAAAACAAGTCAAACCAAAACAAAACACAATACAAATGAATGACAATTTGGTGCTGATATTATCATAGTTGGAATTAGGCTATCTGTTTGAAGATGTCATTTGGAGATAAAAGAAATGATCCCATGCATATTTAAATTGTTTAACCAATGGTTTACATGTTGGAAATCTGATGAGATTTAAATTCCTGTGGTCATTGTGAGTACTCCTTTAGAACTGGGTAAAATGACTTCTCATCACTAAATTAAGAACAGAAGTCTATCAGCACCTTAGAAGAATCAGAATGTGCCATCCTTAAGGCTGGGGAAGAAATTTTGCAAACCATCCAAGCCAGTGGCTCCCAATTGTGGGGTCATGATGACAAGTGAGGTCTTTATTAATGCTAAGGAATCAGAGCCTGAAGTGATACACTTTGCTTAGGAGTTAGGACAAAGTCAAAGTGGCCTGCAGGGAGGGAGGGAGGGAGGAAGGAAGGAAGGAGGGAAGGAAGGGGAAATCCCTCCTGGTGGAGACCCATGAGCTCGGAGGCCAGCCAGGGTAATCGGTACAGGCTGGACGCGAGCACCTTGCCATGCTCCTGGCAGGGCTCTGGCCCACACCTTGTTGATGTTGATGTGCAGGGCGGGCCAGGGTCCAGCAGCCTTCACTGTCTCCAGTTCCAGCTTCTTCAGATGAGCGGCAGCTTCGCTGAACAGGGCAGGTGCTCCCGGGTTCAACTCTACAAAGTGGCCAGAACAGACACAAAGGAAAGGTTGGAAGGACAGAGAGACATCAGGGATGAGGGACTCTTACCTGAGCCTGACTCCCAGCACCCTTCTGCCTGCCACCACCTCCTCCAACTTGATGCAGTATGAGAGTAAAGATTTCATAGCCAGACTCTCCCACGTGAGCTGGGGGTCCCTGGGAAAGATGCCTCATCTCACTACGCCATTTAAAAATGAGAATAAAATTACTCACCTTGTAGGATTGCTGTGAATATCGAGTGAGGTTATTCATGTATATTTAAATTCCATTTAAAAATGGAAATGCACTGTGCAAACTGGAAAAAATTAGTGTTTGTGCTAATGGGTATAAAATGTGCCTTTAAAAGCCATGTTGCAGTTTTAAGATCAAGTCCATTGATTTTGACTTCTGTACTACTTTGGATTCGTTTGCCACCACTCCTCCCTCCAGCTTGAATTTATTAATATACTAAATATTCATTAAATATTAAATATTCACTGCATAGTAAACTTTGTGCCAAGTATTGCTAGCAATTGGTATCTGGGTGCTGAAATAAAGGTGAATGAGACACAATTCTAAGACTGGAATGTCCATGAGATTCCAAATAAAAGTAATACCAGGTTTAATTAATTGCTATAGGAGCAAGAGACAAGGCACTCCAAAGCCAGGAATGGGGAAGGGGTGACAGGCAATGTTTCACTGATAACACATGAGATGGCTTCTGAGGGATGTACAGGAGTTCACTAGGGCAGAGAAAAACCTTCCAGGCAGAAGGAAAAGCATTTGCAAAGGACAGTGCTGTATTGGCACAGTATTTGGTGAGAGAGGAGTGGTTCTGTGTACTTAGAGGATGCTGGGGAGTGGGGGAGGCTGGAGGCCTTGTCTGAGCCTAGACTATGAAGCGATGTCTGCAGGCAGCCCTTATCCCAGGACAGTCAAGAATAATGGAAAGGTCTGTGCTCTCTGGTGAGCGCAGACTTTGCAGCTTCTGGATGGAGTCCTCACTGAAGTAGGAGCCCGTCAGGAGGCTGCTGTGATTACCCAGATGTGAAAGAATGGAGCAGGGACCTGGGGAAGGGCAGCAAGGGCGGCAATGAGGGCTCTGAGTTTAGATTCTTCATACCAGGTGGGTTATGAGTTCCCATTTCCAGTTAAGCCAGCCCAGACCCCTAGCACCTCTCCCTGTGGTCCATAGGTGAGGACAGAGTGACCCATTCGTTTTCACCAGCTCACAGACTCCTAAGTGTTAGGCTGGGAGGTTCCTGGCAATCACTTGACATCCTCTATCCCATTCACAGACGAGGAAACTGAGGATTGGAGAGGGGACCTGGTTGCCAGGCAAGAACCCAGCATTGCGGCCTGGGGACTCTGGCCTCTACCTCAGCGCTTTTCAAACCCAGTGTGAAAAAGATAAAGTTCTATCCCCATCAGAGATAAATTCTTTGATAAAATATACTACAAATGCGTTTCTAGAAAAATAAAATAACAGATGTAAAAAATTCAAGCCCATTTTTTGTTAGATTTAACAGATATGGAATGACTCCATCATATTGCTAACCATGTTTATAACTGTGACTTCTCCTACTGGGGCCTGCATCACAAGTGACACCACCTTGCTCTCAGAAGTGGAGGATCAGAAAGGGGACAGGACAGGTTTCCTATAATCAGGATAGTGGAAACCCCAGTCACCACCTCCCTATTTCTCTTTTTCAGTGCTGGGCATTGCCCAAGGAGAGACCTGCTAGGAAGGGAGGAGGAATTGGAGATTCTTGGTAATCTACCATGTCTAGATGGCCCTGCCTAAATGCATCAAGCTGCTGTCCCCTCCGCTCAAACCTTGTGACCAGCACAACGCAACACAGGCAAGGTGAGCACCAGGAAAGCCACCCCAGTCCCACAGCCTCGCCCCACCCCCTTGCCCCACTTACTGGTAAGGGGCTTGCTGCTGGAGTTCGGGGACCTCAGAGGCCCTTCTTTGCTCTCTAGGGTCAGTGAGAGGCCGTAGTGGGAGTGGTGCTGGTGCTGGTGCTGGTGCTGGTGGTGATGCCTTCCAGAAGCTTTGGGGGGGAACGGTGTGCCCCCGTTCTCCTCAATGCCAAATGGCAGCCGGTCCGAGGGGCTGAGCACTGGGGAGGGGAGCGGGTAGCTGTGACAGTGACAAGGGCAGGATTTAGAAAAGCAGGATTGATTGGTTTATTGATTGATGATTTTTTTTTGAGACAGTGTTTCACTATGTAGCTCAGACTGGCCTTGAACTTGTGGTTTCTTACATTAGTCTCCCCAGTGCTGGAATTACAGGCATGTTCCACTGCATTCAGGGAAAAGTAGGGTTTAGAAAAGTCTTGTGCGTCCTTTATAGGATCAGACACCAAGAGAAACAGATTCACCAAATAGAGCTCTATTTAAAATAGATTACAGTTATATTGTATATAAAGAAAAAGAATGAAGAAGACATCTGTATATTTCAGAGACCTGACACTTTGTTCCTTAAAAAAATTTTAACTTTGAGATAACATAAAAATGAGTTGTATTTTTTAAAGACATTCTCTAAACAGAGGAAGAAATAAAAACAATAATAAGAAATAAGCTTTACATGATCCTATGATAAGATTGTGCTCCAAACTAGAAGTTTCTCTCCGCCTATGCCAACATGTAGAACACCTCTGTTGACATTACTGCTCTGGGTCCCAGAGCTGAGACTCAAGGCTGACCAACCAGAATCCTTCATCCTTCTAGCTAGAATGACTCATTCTGGGATGTGATCCATCAGATACTCAGATGGTCCCAAAGAATGAACAATTCCCAGAACCACCACCACCAAATATATACATATATATAACTTTATGACAATATTTATATAAGTAATATTAGGTATACTAATATCATATAATAAAACATCTACAGCTAAAAGTTCATTTTTTCCTCTGGCTTTAAAAGAAAACATTTTGTGGGTTTGGACAGTACTGTGGACCCATGGCACTGTGCTCACTGTGCATAATTAAGAAGCCAGCCCTGGCTGTGAGGATAAATTTGGCTTCTCATGACCATGTTTTCTGGACATAAGGAAGTAGAATCTATGGGAATGATGTCAAGACACAAAAGATGAAAAGATGAGCAGAGATTAGAGGCAGATGGAGGAAGAAAACACTTTAATGGTAGCATTTGAGTACCTAGATACAGCCATACCTGAAGCTGATACTACTGCTGCACTTTGTAATTATAAGGTTCAGAGACTTTATTAATCGATTAAGGTACTTGGGTTTCTCCCATTTATAACCCACATGCTCTAAATCAGTGTGTGTGTGTGTGTGTGTGTGTGTGTGTGTGTGTGTGTGTGTGTGTGTGTGTGTGTGTGTAATTTCTTTTAGGTAGAAGAGGTAGAAAGAGCTGTCAGCGGCCTAAGGAATAAATGTGCTGTGGCTGGAAGAGCAGGGTGTCGAGAAGAGAGGGAGAAAGAGGGAATCAGCAGCAGGTGAGAGTAAAAAAGCAAGCCAGGGCTAGTTGGGAGGGCTAATTGTGCCAGTAATCACCTGGGCAACAAGGCACCAAGGGAAGGGTGGCAGCCATGCCCTGGGATGCTCCGGAAACAGAGTGAGCAGGGCCTGTCACTTGGGGACACTGGGGAAAGAAAGTATCACAGATATCGCTGCTGCAGAGGCAGAATGTACTCCAGAAGAAATGACATTGTCCCCACTGCTTCAAGAGCTGGAGCTCTGACCCATGCTGATTGCTTCTGAAAACTTTGTATGGACAAGCACATATGCCACGAAACATACCCAGGGCCAGCAAAACTGAGTTGGAGCTGAAACCCTGGGCTCTAGACCTAGTCCTGCTCTTGCAGTGGAACCTTGGGCAGTGGCTCCGGACCTCACTTCCCTCATCTGTAGCAAGAGGTAGGTTAAGAGACTGCTGGGCACATTTCCAGATCACCCTTTCTCCCAACTGTGCCAGCTACTTTACAGAAACGAGCCCATTTTGTATGTGCATAGGCCTTTGTTCCTTAAAGTATCTGGGAAGGAAAGGAGGGAGGGATACAGATAGGGAGGGAGGAAGAGAAGGAAGGAGGAAGAAGGAAGGAAGGAAGAGAGGGAGGGAGGGAGGAAGGAAGGAAGAATGAAGTTAAGAAGCTGGGATTTGACAACAGCTCTATCTACTCTAAAGCCTGTTAACATTTTTTTCCTGTCTCTCGAATACATTGAAAATGTTATTTGCCTTACGAGGGTGCAGAGGCCAGGAGAGTGAATGCCCTTTGCCTGGGAGACTGGAGAGACTTTCCAGCCTAAGGCTTGCCTTCCCCTGCCCTCCATCCTCACTACTGCCAACCTACCAAAAATCTGAGTGGGCACTGGAACTATCCAGGCAGGAGGACAGATCAGAGGGGCACTGAACAGGAGAGAGTGACCAGGTAGAGGCACTAGCTGGAAACATGGGAAACCCCATGTTTCTTAAACTGGAGGACCAGGCATGCAGTGTCATTAATAGAAGAAAGGAGGGAGAATGAGGCTGCTTTGACGAGCTTGAGCTTCAGATGGCTTACAATGGGAAAGGCCCAGGGAAGGATGTCTGGTCACAGAGATCTGGCATACACTCAGGGCTGGATGTGGAAGGAGTTGGAAAGCTTTGAGCAAGAGATTGTGAAAGGAGGCGAATAGATACCATCTCTGATGCCAACTCCAACTGATCCTCACTCCCTGTCCAGCATGCAAGATGAAGGGTTCTGAGATTGTGCCCAGCTCAGAGGGAGAGTGCTGTGATTAGTGATGTCTGCCATGGACCTGGGAGCACACACAGGTACCAATGTACTTGTCTTTGCAAATTAAAAGTGTGCAGTTTTTTATTTCAAGGAAGCCCAGCGTGTAGAGTCAAACCGTTAAAAAAAAAAAACTATATATGCAGGAAGTGAGAAATTGCACTTAATAACATGTCAAGTAAAACATGCAAGTGTGACTTTCATCTTACAGTATCTAAGGGGCAGAATGAGAAACAGAGAAATGGGAAGAGAAACAGATGAGGGTCAGAGAAGCTGCCAGGGGCTGGACCCAGAAATCAAGTTGGGTTAAGGGTCTTTCAAAGAACAAAGGCTCCTAAGCAGGTGGTGGAATGATCTGGAAGCATCCTCTGCTTACTCCCATGGGGACCATCCTAAAGATGCTAGCGTGGAGTTTTGTGGGGGTATGGGTCCATTAAGGAAACTGCTTGTGGCCTCATGGATTGTTCCCTGGAGAATTCCTGGAAGCGCCATTGCCATAGACTAAGATGTATGTAGTATCTATGAGGTTGTGCAACTGTCCTGTTGACCTCAAAGAAGGTCAGCCCATGACAGAGAGTCCAAGGGTACACAGGAGTGCATGAGCCCCAGGAATGCTGACCAAGGCTCTGGAGGTCAGGCCAGATCCATGCTCACTGCCATCAGAGACTTGAGGCTTTGGATGGAGGTGTCTGGAATTCTGAAAAGTGGTCACAGGTACTAATTTCAGAGTGGGTAACAAAGGATGGACATGCAGGTTTTAGCCTCTGCTCTCATGAGTGGACAGGAGAGAAGGAGTGTGACATGGAAGAAGGAGCTGCTGTGTGGTCGGCACTGTGAATGGCACCATTATTGTTTAGTTGTCACCACTTTCCTGCCAGGATGCTGCTGATGCCTCGTCTGATATCGGGACTCGCAAAGATGAGTAATGAGTCCTGTTAGTCAACTCAAAGGAGACTTGAACTGGAGCTATTCCTCTCTTCCCGTTTCTCAGGGGAGATCTGGCTCCTATTCTGCCTTCAACTCAGGAGTAGCAGTATTGCCACCAGGCTGTGTCCTAGGGGGCTTCACTGTCTGTGTTAGCAGTGGGTGCACTCCTCTGCAGAGCCCAGAAGGATGGGGGCTCCTCCATTCCTGCCTAATCCCATCCATGCTCCCTGCCAGAGCATGCTGCAGGTAGAATCCCAACAGCCTCAATGATCCACCACTGGAATTGCAATCAGATGCAGGGAGGGTGGAACCCAGGGCTGAGTGAGCAAGGTGCTCTGTGGAGCCACACATAAACTCTGCAGCTCAGTCAAGTTCCTAGCAACACGGGCTTTGGGGAGCAGTATTGGGAATCTAACCCTGAATAAGAAATGGCAGAGTTTTAGAAATAGAGCTCCTCAGATATCCTCCAATTTAGTGGTTTTAAACTCTGGATGAGTATTAAAATCACTAGGGGAAGCCCGATACGCTGCCGGAAAAGGCAAATGCTTCAGTCAGTCAGTTGAAAATAGCCTGGCAGTTCCTGAAAAAAATTAGAGTTACCATAGGACCTATCAATCCAGCTCCCGGATATATGCCCAAGAGAAATGGAAATATGTCCATGCAAAAACTTGTGTGTGAGCTGGGGGCATGGCTCAAGGAGTGGAGGTAAGCACAAGGCCCTAAGTTTAAACTCCAGTACCACCAAAAAGACACGAATGCTCACGGCATCATTATTCATGATCACTCAAAGGTATGAACAACCCAAACTCTATCAACTGAATAAACAAAATGTGATACATCCGTACAATGGGTATAAAACGGAATGAGTTAGCAATCTATGCTCCACCATGAGTGAACCTTAGAACATTATACTCCATGAAAGAAGCCAGATACAAAAGGCCACATGTCGGATGACCATCTAAATGAAATGCTTAGAACGACAACTAGAGAGTAGATTTGTGGGTACCAAGGTCTCAAGAGTATGGGAGAAAATAAGGAGTGAGTGACTGCTGAGAGCACTGAGTTTCTTCGAGGAGGAATGAAAATATTCCAGGATTAGATTGTAGCCATGGTTGTGCAACTTTGGGAAAATACTTGAAAACACTGAGTTGTACAATTTAGGGAATTGTATGGAATGTGAAATACATCTCTTTTCTTTGGTGGTACTGGGGTTTAAACTCAGGGCCTCACACTTGCTAGAGGCAGTCTACCCTCAGAGCCATATCCACCCATGAACTATATCTTAATAAAATCTGTTTTTTAAAACCACTAGGGGAGATTTTGGAAGATACCAATGCAGGCCCTAACCAGACCAAATGACATAGTCATTTATCTCTAAATCCATCCTGTGGCCAGAGTTGAGAACCGCTGCCCTTGTCCAACTTCCTCATTTTGGCATATGGCCCACTGTGGGGCATGAGGCGAGCAGG